TAACAGTTTAAACTCTTTATACTTGGTTTTATATTGATCGTGACATTAATGCTATTACTGGGCGGGAGGAGGAGAAAGGAGACTTAATTGGACAAATACCCCAGGGCTGTTTCCATCCTAAACCAGCCAAGTTAGCAATAAGTAGATTCCCTCACTCCGAGGATAATTCCCCAGTCCTTAAACAAACTAATGATACCTGCTTCATGGGATTATGATGATTAAATGCAGTGAGGCATAATAAACTGCCTGAGTCACAGTGAGTGCTCAGGAAAGGTTGGTATCTTTCCTCGCAGAGCTGATAAAAATGGCAGGGAAACTAGTGAAGGTCACTTCCCTATGCACAGTCAGGGGACCTTAGTTTACTTCTCTCTTCCCCTCAGTAATCAGCCTTCCTAACTGTGGAAGGCTGGCTCCAGTTGGGGCCCTCCTGTGGACTCCTCTTCAGTGCCCACTGTGTGCACAGCACTGGACAGCAGCTTACAACTTGCCTTGCCTTTCTGCCCAAGTGATTTCCTGCGCACACGCCAGCTCCACCCTTTCCCACAGTGAGCCCCCTCCTGCCCCTCCAGCCTTCCTTATTCTGCCCCCAGAATTAACTGTTCATCCTCTGCCACCAATGTATCTGCAGTTGTCAGCATGGTCCCTGAACTAGCAATTTCAGCATCCAAGGGTACTCAGAAGCACATACTTTTTGGCCACAGACCTCCCAAACTCTAACTCCACAACATGGCCCAGTAGGCAGTTCTGACCCCTGGGAAGTTAGACAGTTACTGCTCTACAAACCTCTACACCCTGCTCCAGCTCCTACGCCGAGAGCCCTCTTCCTTTCCTGCCACCTCCCTCCCTCCCATCATGGAGAGACACTCCTGAAGCTAAAGCTGCCCTATTGTCCCCTATACCACTGTTCTTGTAGCAGTCCTCACCAAATATGAATCACAAGCAAATCTGCAATGTTTTGTCATTTATTGGACCACTTTTTCTATTCCTAACTCAACATTTTTAAGTTGATACTAATACATTCATCCTTTATCCTGCTCTTTAAGAATCTATAAAATTACATGTAACACACGCCTTATCTTTCTATTCTATATACAAGAAATTTCCTTTCATTCATGCTAGACATGTGAACACTAGAATATTAACAACTTACCGGACATGGAAGTAAAAAGTTGCACTACTTAGGAGAACGTTCTTGAAATATTTGCCACTATCCATGTTCCACAGGGACTTATAATGACTCAAAGTTCTTTTCACTACATGATTTCACTGGACTTCATGATAGCACAAGATGGACAGAAAGTCATAATTCTCTGTATTTCATACTCAAATAAACTGAGATTTTTTTCCCTCTGTCATAGGGAACACAGACAAAGAAACTAAATCAAAGATCTGTGGCTTCTTGATGTAGTTTCACACATCCTTCACCAAACAGCAAAGCCCTTTTCTTCATCATCATCATCATGATCTGTGAATATCACGTGAATCAGAACTATTATGTTCAGATTTTCAAAAAAAAATGAAATATGCAGGGCTGGGGATTTGGCTCAGCAGCACAAGTGCCTACCTGGCAAGTGTGAGGTCATGAGTTTGAGCTCCATTACCCTCCCTCCAAAAAAGGAATATGCATAAGTGAAACCACAACCTCTTATTCCTAGGAGCTTCTCAAACTAAGAAATGTGATCATGTATACACCATCTAATCAGACTACTTAGTTTTTAAAACTGAACCGAGAGCAAATAAAACGTGAAAGGCAAATGCCTGTATAAAACTATGGTATTTTAGTGTTTAGGTTGAAACTTCTATAGAACAATTGCCAAAAGCTCATCACATAAAACACAGCCCTAGTGCGGAGGTTCACGCTGGCTAGACCTTCTAAAGAACGCCTATTGGTAAAGAGGACAGGTTTTTCTAACGGTGGCAGTCTCATAGGCCTATGAATAGAATCTTCTGCTCAGATTAGGCCTTCCGTAGCACACTCCATCTGTGGAAATGAATAGAATATTGAAACTCCATCAGAAAGAGACCTCTGCCTTTCTCGGTGCTGTTGTTGTTTCTTTCTTTCTTTTGGTTCTCAGATGATGCAATCTGACAGGGCAGAAGCTTTCTGTTTGATGGTTAATCCTTTTTTTTTTTTAATGCCTACATCTAAGATGCTTAAATTTGTGATACACTTTTTTTTTAATCGGTACCGGGGATCGAACTCACAACCACACACTTGCAAGGCAGGTGCTTATGCCACTGAGCTAAACCTCCAGCCCTGTGATACACTCTTTAAATTAGATACAATATTTGTAATATATCCACACACATTACATGCTATTAGAATGATGTTTCAGTGAACAACAGACAGCATATACAATGGCCCCAGAGATTGTAACAGAACTAAAAAATCCCCATAGCCTAGTGACACAGCCAAATTGAATCAAGACTTGGCCATTACTCAACTCTGATTCTTATTCTTACTTTTGTCAGGGAAATCAGGAGGGTGGGCCTTTAAACATCTAAACAAATATGGTGCCCCTCTATCATAACTAAGCCTGGAATCCACTCTATCATTGAAGTCCCCTGGCCTTCGTTCACTCAGGACTGCAGGAACTGGGAGTGGGCTAGTCCGCCAGGCCAGCGCAGCCAAAGGCAGAAGAAGTACACGAGAAAGGGGAGGCCGAGGGAAAAACTCTTCCCACTCTTCTGTTGTTTTGTCTTCTTTTCCCAGTGTTTAATGCATCTCCACTCCATTTCCTTTCCTCGAGTCAGTGATTAAAGGTATATTCTTCTATTTTTCAAAATCCCCACCACCTGTGGTTTTTTTTTTTTCCTTTTCTTTTCTTCAAAATGGCCATTTTCTTTTCTTTTCTTCAAAATGGCCATTGGTCTCTCCAAGCTTCACTTTCAAAGGAAGACCTGGCCCCTTCCTTTCTTTTTTTTTTTTTTTTTTTTTTTTTTTTTTTGGTGCCAGGGATTGAACTCATGACCTTGTGCTTGCCAGGCAAGCACTTATGCTGCTGAGCTAAATCCCTGGCCTGCCCTTTCCTTTCTTTACAATATATAATGTATGTTGTTGATCCTTGGGAGACAGGGAAAGACAAATAGTTCTGAGAAGCATCAACACAGCTAACCTGGCTAAAGAACAGCACAAAGGCCAGGCGTTGTTGCCAAATGCTTGTAACCCCAGCACTGGGGAAGCTGAGGTAGGAGGACCAGCTGTGAATTCAAGGGCAGCCCGGGCTACACAGTGAGCTCAAGGTCAGTCTGAACTACATAGTGTTACCATCTCAAAAACAACAACAACAAAAAGCACAAGAGTAGTTAGCAGAGTAAAGACAAAGACAGCTGCAGTTTTTCCTTTTATTCAGGATTTAAGCAGCTTCTTTATTATCAAAATAACTACATCAGCATGAATAATCTGCTGATTATAAAATTAATCCTTGCAGAGAGAAAGAATTAACATCTAATGAATACTTGCCATCTGCCAGCATGTAAGAAAAGCCTCTGGTTCTTAGTATTTCAGTGGTCAAGGACTCCTCTGAGATTGTTGTGGAAGGTATAAAATCTCTCCCCTAAAAAACTGCAAATGAACACAAAATTTCACATAGAAATACAGGGGTAAATGGTTTCCTGAAGCACAACCACAGACCCCAATTACAACCCCTGTGCTATCATGGCCTTCTTGAGCTGAAAATCACTATCCCCACCTTTAGATGAAAGAACACAGAGGTTCATCCATACATAGTAGCTGCAGGAGACCTACTATCTGTGTTCCCCCAAATTCCTACTGAAACCTAATCTCCAATGTAAGGGTATTTGGAAGTGAAGCCTCAGGGAGATGATAGGTAATAAGAGCAAAGCCCTCAGGAATGGGGTGCCTTATACAAGAGGCCCCAAAGAGCTCCTTTATCCCTTCCACCATGTGAGGTTATGGGGAAAAGATGACCTGTATAACCCTACAAGCCTCATCAGACACCAAACTAGCTAGCTCCCTGATCTCAGACTTCATAGCCTCCAGATTATAGAAATCAATTTGTGGATCTGTTGTTTTGTTGTGTTGTGTTGTGTTGTGTTGTGTTGTGCTTTGCTTTGCTTTATTTTATGGGAAAGGCATTCATTATGTTGTCCAGGCTGGTCTTGACCTCCTGGCTCAAACGAGCCGTCTACCTCAGCCCCAAGTAGTAAGACCACACACATGCTACTGCACCCAGGAATTGGTGTTGAGAAGTGTATGGTATTCTACTACAGGAACCAGGAAGAAGCAATTAAACAAGATTTATCTACATACTGCCCTCCCATTCTCAGATGAAAATATCACCTAACTTTTCTGTAACTATACTAATCTCTTCATCCCCCTCCTTTTTCTTTTTTTTTTTCGAACTCACGATCACACACTCAGGCACTTATGCCGCTGAGCTAAATCCCCAGCCCCATTTTTTTTTTTTTTTCATTTTTGTAGTATGAGGGATTGAACCCGAGGACTGACACGTGCTAAGCAAGTACAGAGGCACATTTTTTATATTCTGAGACAGGATCTTGCTAAGTTGCCCAAGCTGGCCTTGAATTTGCAGTCTTCCTTAGTTAGCCTCCCAAATGGCTGGGAAAATAGGTATGCACTGCTACACCTAGCTCACTATGTTTACCTGAGAAAGTAAAAGATCATGTGAGAAGCTGAGATCAGTGCATCTCATTCTTGACTCAGCCACAGGAATCATGAAGCTCAGACCAGCAGCTCTTCTTATCTGCCCAACCCCAATCTTCCTGACCCTCCCTGCCCAGCCAGTTGGAAGACAAGTCAAGAAGTCTTTCCTAGAGGCTTCCCATTGCTCAGAATGAAAGACAACATCTCCTCAAAATAATCCATCTGTCAAAAGGTGCACAAGAGGGCTGGGGGTTTAGCTCAGTGGCACAGTGCCTGCCTGGCAAGCATGAAGGCCTGAGTTCAATTCCTGGTACCAAAAAAAAGACAGACAGAAAGACAGAATGTGAACAAGAGACCAGTCGAAGCCTATGGATATGAAACAAAAGAAATTTAATTTCAGAATATTACAAGAATATAAAACACAATACATATGTTTCTTTATAATTATATACACATACATTACATATAGTCAAATAATGAAAAATAATAAATGGTGAAACCTTATCTTAACAAACCTGCTTAGGTTTTTGGGTGAGCCAGGGACAGGACAAAGGCAAACTTGGCTCTAAAGAAAAGCCCCCTTGGTTGAGGGGCATGTTTTTCCTTAAAGGTTGTGCTGGTTCCTAAACATGTCACAGGCATACTCAATAGCTCTTTATCATAAGCTGTGGCCTTACACATTCGTTTCCATGGTAACTCAAGCACTCCAGCTATTTGTACTCCACCTCCTCACTAAGCGGCCTCCAACAACTCGACCCTGATCTCAGCATTAGTTGTCTAGTAAAGCCAGCTTTCCACAATGAGTTTGCCACTGGCTAATTACTGCTGCATTCTAAAGCTTTGTATCTTAGGGACTAAATTTTTCCCAAATCCTAGGCAATCCTGCTGGTATCCAGGTTTAGACCTAGGATCTGTCTTCAGTGCAAACCTTTCAGGGTAGAGGAAGGAAAGGATGAGGCTCTCTCCTAGGGAAAGTAGCTCCATTCAGAAGCAGCCTCAGCATGGGAGCCATCACCTTCCAAACCCTTGGGAGGCCAGCAAAAAGCACGGAAGTAGATGGAGTCTAGAGATGGCTGTTCTCAAAAATGGCCTCCCATTGCATGGTCACATGGCCAGTCACTGTGGGGCACAGTTCTGGCGACAACAAGTTTCCCCAGAATGCAACATTTAAAACCGTATGCTACTATAAGCTCCTATAAGGGAAGCTGAACAAAAAAATTTCCACTCAGGAGGAAAAATGGCTCTGCCCTGACACCAGGATCAATCAACTTCTTTTTGGACCAACAAAACAGCCACCTCTGGCACATCTAGTAGTTACCAGAGTCAACCACTCTGTACTACCCTTGTCCTCTTGTCATTCCTGACTGGCCCTGGAAAGACAAAGAGCTTTGCTTTGTGTAGGATGAGCTGTGGTTTGGTGATGGTTCACTGCCTGCTCCTCTAGCATGCTCTGGACTTGGGTATAAGCACTGTCTCCTGACCCTCTTCACTGCCACACGGGGGTTTCCAAGCCAAATTCACTGGTCCCAAATGCAGAAGTCCATGTTGTAAAAGGGCAGAAACCCAGTATCCGTGACTTCACTAATCTCCCAGTGTGGTTCGTCCCAAACAGATCTGAGCCAAGAAAGTGGTCTGTGTCTTTATCCTGAGCTCCTCTGGCACAAACACAGTACCCCAAATTGATACCATGTCAAAACCTATGCCAACAGAGCCCAGAAAAAAGCGAAGCTTTAAACACCACAAGAGGAGGCACTTCCAAAGAGACTGTTCCAATATGAAAAATAAAACACAACAAAATAGATTTTTAAACAATTTACAGGTTAAAAAAATTAATTAAATACTGGCTCAAACATACCTGCCTGCTGAGTCAGAAGAGAGATGGCAACTTTCTATGAACTGAAAAAAGCTTTTTAAGTTTATCATAAGATTTCACAGGATTAGAATAGTTACAAATTATAAGGCAGAAATCTATGCTGCTTATTCTTCAAATTTGGTTTCCAACTGGATCACAGCTTCTATAAGAAAAATGGCCTATAATACCCTTAAAGCAAGGGTCACCACATATTCAATAAATAAACACACACACACATACCCATATACCCATGTAAGCTGCCCAAGCATGTGCAGGTGGTGAACACCTCTCTCACCACCTTCACCCTGGAACACTGCCCTCAGTGACTGATCCTTTAGTATCTCCTAAGTCTCAGTTACCTCTGCAACAGCACAGAACTGAATGGATGGCTGAGTCACTGTTCTGCTCCCTCTACCTGACACCCGACCATACCAAGAGACCACCACACCACTCCAGGATGAAACACACTTCAACGAATAAGGAAAAAAGGACCGAGTTAAGGAACAGTTACTTTGATTTGGTGACACCAAAGGGGTCTCTGTCTGAATTCACTGTCACCTGATACAAGAAAATACATTTTCCCCCTGCTAAGAAAAAAAAAGTGGTATGAATTTACTTCTGAATATTTTAAAGAATGACCTAAGACTGTTATAGAATAAGGGGCTTCTAAGCAGTTTTATACTTCTATACATTTATTGCCCCAATTTGCCATGTTGGAAAGTCAAGTCTTATATTTGCTTCACAAATGGAGTAAAAGTAGCAAAAGAAACAGTATAGTAGGGAAGAGAGGGCTGACACCCAAGCACAAAGCCAACTCTGCTATTCCAGAGTCACCTGTCATTTCAGCAATAGTGCAGTACTTTCAACTGTTTAAAGATAGGTCAGCAAACACTATTTTGCTAGGCACCTTCTTCCCCACTTGGACAGGGGCCTGACTCAGCTCCAACATACAAAGAGTAGGAAGGGCACACAGTTAACGGACCAGGGATAAACCAAAACACTCTCACCTGCCACACACTGCTCTGGGCAGCGAATACTTCAAATAAGACCAACACCATGCCACTGCCCACCTCAAACCTGTGTGAACACACCCAGCCCAAAAGCCAAATACCCCACCCCACCTCCTCTCCCAGTTTCTCCCTGTGCCCATTTTGACAAGGACTGGGCAATGGAGCACTGGTGATAAGCCACAACTGCTTCCAAATAGGAATGCTCTCTCCTTAACCCATGGCCCTGCAGAGCCCATCCACATCACTCATGATACCAGCCTGCTCTTAGGAGACGGGTTAGCTGCACATCTGCCTCCTGGGAAGGTGCCACAGAATCTCACCCACAGCCAGCCAGCCCCTCCAGACACACGCCAAAGCTTCCCACCACACACACAGATTTCAGCAAACCTCTCTGAAGCTATATGGGACTACATAAATCACAGTGATCTGGCCCAGAAGTATCCGCTCAGCACTATAGAGAGTGGCTGCTGCAGATAAGAGGATTCTCAGGGAAGGAAACAACTTCAGCAACCACACGATTTTCCACATCACTAAGGAGAAGGGAAGTTTTGGACAGACTAAGGGAAGGAGGAATGGAGGGAAAATAGTTTAATAACTGAAATTTGCTAAACTATCTTTCTGAATTCTCCTTTTTTGACATTGGAGGTCAAATATTGTATAATCCTGACCCCAAAAAGATAATTTTAAATTTCCAAGAAAGCTGTAAATTCTTTGAAGACAAATAAGATGCTAATGAGTATTTCCTTACAAGATAAAGAACTTTCCCAAAGCTTAAGGTGAAAAAGGATAAAATTCTCTAGCTTATAGTCCATTTCAATTACCAATTCCCCTAAAGTAATTTTAAAACAAATAAACAACAAACAATACATCAAAACATGAGAAAAGTCCAAAATATCAGTTTAAAAATAGGATCAATCCAGACAGTTCTTTAAAAAAACAAAATGGCAGTTGAGCACAAAATTTCATATTCTTAAAAATAAAAACTGGCCTAAAAACTCTGAAGGAGCCTTGGAGGCCCCCCTGGTTCTGCCCATTTACTGCACTGTGTATGCTGTTGGCTGGTTAGTGGTTTCCCCATAACATTAAAAGAGAGAGAAAGAGTGGCCCTAGCACTCTCTCTGAAGGCACAGCTTACAAATGTCATCCAGTGAGTAGGATTAGAGCTATCAGTTGGGTCACAGGATTAATTGGCTTTCTCAGTTCAAACAGCAACAAGCAAGCTGCAAGTCCAAGCTTCACTGTACGTAGAAATGATACCTGGCCCACTAAATTCTATGGGTGGACGACAGGAGAACTCTAGATCCTTCAGAGGAATCCTAGGTTGAAGGAGAAACAAGAGTATTAGTTATGTTTATACATATTACTTTTTGCAAACTTCCCACCTAAAAGCTGCAGAATCTACAATAAATATTTTCTCTAACCTGAGAAAGAAATTGAGTTTGACGCTCTTCCAAGAAAACCACCTGGTCAGAATGATCATTAAATCAACTTACTGGTAAGAACACCTGCCAGTTAGTTAAATACATAATCTATGTATTGCTCTAAGTTCTTTATGTACATTATCTTGTTTTTCCTCACAACTACCTATGCAACTATTTGCTGCTTTTTAGGTAAAGAATCTGTAGCTGACACACTGAACTTGCTGTAGGGCATATGGCTATTATGGGCCTCCAAGTGAATACAGAGCTCATGTTCTTATCACTACTGGCCCCCCAGCAGCAAATGTACACTAAATGGCTGCCAGGGCGAGGTAGGAAACAAAGGGCCACACATATAGTAAGTTTTCTAAAAGATAAACCAGATACGGAGATGAGACAATACATGTAAAGTAAATACCATAAATCATATTAAATGTCTGCAATTACTAGCATAAGTCAGACTTCAAAGCAAAAGAATAATTCTATCTGGTTGAATTAGCCAGGGGTTTCAAAGATGAGGTACAACTAAGGCTGGTCTTAAAAGAACAAGATTCTCACTTCTGAAAATAATGCCCATTAATAAGTAAGTAGTAAATCAGTTGTCATCTAGGAGTGACTTTCCCCATTCTCCTCAGGGGACATTTAGTAATGTCTGGAGATATTTTTCTTTGTCACAAGTAGAAAAGGGTATCAGTGTCATCTAGTAGGCAAAAGCCAGGGATGCTGCCAAACATAAAATGCACAGGGGAGCTCCCACAATAATTAAGGACCCAAAATGTCAATAATGCAAAGGTTGAGAAACTCTGCTAAAACAAGTGTTTTTATTATGCTGTTAATGAAGATAATAAAACTGCATTATCTTCTTCAAAGAATAGTTGTTACTTCTATAAACATGAGGATGAGAACCCTAGGATTGTATGCATTGTTGCGTAAAAGAAATACATGGCAGGCCCGTGGGTCTGGAGGCTTGGATACTAGAAGAGGGTTCAAAGCAGGAGAAGCTGTCTGGGGAACAGGTATCATTCAGAGAGCAGAAGTGAGCTGTGGAAATACACCAAGCTACTAAGGGGGCGTGGGAGTAAATGCAAAAAAGAACAGAGAACTTAAGACAGATTTTTAAAACAATAACAAATGAAAGCAGATGACTAGGCAGACAATAGTAAGCCACTAGAGGAAGAGAAGAGTAAGAGGTAGTATCATTACATCGAGGTAGGGGTTTCAGGATACAGTGACCAGAGAGAGAGGAAAAGTGAAAATGTCACTGCTTGATCCAATTATATCATCTCTAATCCATTAATTATTTCTGGGTCTTTACTTTTCTAAACCATGAACATTTTTGAGAATCTAATAAAAGCTGTATGTATACACACATGTGTATTTTATATATACAAACATGAAACAAATGCATACATGCACTCACATAGAAGACTGCATTGCTGGGCTAGGGATGTAGCTCAGTGGTATAGTGCTTGCCCAGCATGCACAATGCCCTGATTACAATCCCCAGTACCCCCAAAAAGAAAAAACATTTCATGTTAAGACTGCTTTGCTGAGCATGGTGGCATATGCCTATAATTCCAGCTTTCTGGAGGCTAAGGCAGGAAGATCACAGGTTCAACATCAGCCTTGGCAACTTACCAAGACCCCATCTTAAAATAAAATTTTAAAAGGGCAGAGGATGTAGTTGAGTGGAACAGTAATTGACTAACATGCTTGTGGCCCTGGGCTGAATGCCCTGTACTGAAAAAAAAAAAAAAAAAAAAAAAATATATATATATATATATATATATATATATATATTATATTAACAATAATAGAAACTTAAGAAAGAAAGAAAGAAAGAAGCAAAGAAAGAAACAAAGTAAGAAAGACACTAAGTCAGGTATGTTGGCAGGTGCCTGTAGTCCCATCACTCAGGAGGCGGAGGCAGGAAGGTCACCACAAGTTTGAGGCCAGCCCAGGCTACATAGTGAGTTCAAGGCCAGCCTGAACTACATAGCAAGACCCTGTCTCACAAAACAAAACTAAACAAAAAAAGAAACTTTAAAACTTTAGTAGATACCTTAGGAGGTCCACTGACAAGTCAAGACTCCCTGCTCTAACAGGTATGATGCTGCATGCCTGTGACCCTAGCTATTCAAGAGGTTAAGACAGCAAGACCACAAGTTACAGCCCATCCTAAGCAACTTAATAAGATCTGTCCCAAAATTAAAATAAAGGTCACGATGACAAGTGTAGTTTAATGCAAAGGCTCTGAGTTTAATCCCTAGTCCTGACAGAAGGTATAAAAAAATCATCCTGTTCTAGAACTCCTTGGTGGAATATTACACTGGCTTATTTGTTTCTTTTCTTTCTTTTCTTTCTTTTCAAAATAGAACTGTCAAGTTAAAAAGATTATTTTCCACTCATATTCAAAAATGAAAGTGACAAGAGCTATAATCAATACAAAACAAAGTATCCTTCAAAAATAACTTACAGATTTAACTCATAAAGGATAAAAAATTCAGACACATTCAAATACTGATCTTGCCTCAATTGGTGAGCCCTGTCAAGAAGTCAGAAGCAGTAAGCATAGAAAATATAATTCACTCAAATGTAAATAATGAGACCATACTAAAATCTAGTATCCCAAAAAAGAATAAAAATTTGTCCACAACGCCTGGGCTTTTGTTTTGCTTTGTTTCTAACACTGATGTTTCAAACAGTAATTATGCTATCTAATGATAAAATGAGCGTCAAGCCAAAGAACACCTCATCTACCACATGAACCTTGTGTCTGTCACAAGGCCAAGTCTGAGCCAGTTCTCTTTAGTAACAACCATTACAATTTGCTGATGCTTTAACAATTATTTCAACCAAGCCTTATGATTAAACTATGAAATAAATGTAACTATTCAATGACTATCCTTCATCCAAGCTTCTTAGAACCAGAAGTTTCCGATTTTGGAGACTTTGGGATTTTTGGTATATTTTCATAGAGTTAAACAACCCTAATCCAAAATTCTGAAAGCTAAATACTTGGGACTCAAAAAGTTTCAGATTTTTAGAGCATCTCAAGCTTTCATAATTTTGGAATAAGGCTGTTTCAACCCTCATTTTCAGAGGAAGAAACTTGAGTTCTGAAAGAATGACTGATTTTCCTGTATGAGAATGAGGACTCAAGGACTAAAAAAATCTTATGATCTTTCTTTCCAGTGAACAGTCTACTACCAGAAAAGCCTGGGACAGTCATCAGTTCCACTAAAGAATCCATTCTGGATTAAATAGCTATTGCAGAATATGATTTCCAGGACCCTTCAGTACCTAGAAAGTGTCTTTGATTAACTAAGGTTAACGTCCAAACAGAAAAAGAACGTAATTATTCTATGACCAGCTGCTCTTGGTCTAAAATTATATTTGCTTGACAAGTACTCTTAAGATAGCTTATGTCGGTGGCCTGCCTGTTGAAGATGGCAGAAACCAGGTAGGTCATCTGACCCCTCAGCACCTAGAGTAGTACTAAGTAGTTCACCCATCTAATGAAGGAATTCAAGGGCAAAGACACAGTTTTGTCACTTTTATATTCTTCCTGACTACAACTATACTACCCTGGGAAATCAAAATAAACACTAGTGACTAATACAGAAAGGAACTACATTCAGTAAGAAAAGAGAATAAGTACAATTGATACCTTTTTTCTCCTCTTTCTTCCCCTTAGACCATTTCAATCTTGTTGGTGTCATCAAGACAGCTGGAGAATCGGAAAATGACTGTAACAAGAAAATTTTATGATGGCTTAAACGTCTAATGTCAGTCAGTACTACAGATGGACCTTCCTGACAGGAATTATTTACTCGTTCAATTTTCAAGTAAGGAGTTTCACCAAGACTGACATACTCATACCTCATTAATCTTAACTGACTCGTGCAAACTTGATGAAGCAGTTATGCATGGGATACCTTGACAAAGCATACACAGGTAATACAGAGCCCAAGGAGGCCTGGCTCAAGTAGTACCTGCCCTGTGGGGTCTCCCAGGAAGAATTAACTGTATCTTCTACTGTCATGGTTTATGTCTGTAGCCCCAGGTCTCATGAGTTTGCATTGTGCATTTGTGATGGTTCATTGTCTAGCACTTGGATTGATGGTGTCAATGCTCCACCCACATAGGGGTGGAGCCAGGATGTGATGTAATGGCAGGAAGAAGGTGTATCTTGCTCTTTGCTGGTTCTTGCTTGCTGTTTGCAGCTGCCATGAACTGTGGTCCAGCCATGCCCACCTGTCTTGGAGCCAACTGAGTGTGGACTGAAACCTTCAAAAACTGTAAGAAATAAACCTTTCCTTTCCCAACTTAGGCTTCAGGTATTTTGTCTCAGCAACAAGTAAAAAGTAAGACAGAATTTGGTACTGAGGAGTGGGGTCGTTTGCTGTGACTACACCTGATCATGTTTCTCAAGAGGCTTTGGAAATGGCTTGTGGACAGAGCTCAGAAAGGTTGGGACATGTTGCCTGGATGCATAGAGCTGGAGCAGCTTAGGCTGTTCGGTAGAGGAGATACTGGTCAGAGCTCAGGAGACCAGAAGGCTGATAGAAAGCCTGATGGTAAAGACCACGCTTGGGAGGTTTCTTCTGGGAAGAAGGACTGCATTGGTTGTTGGACTCCACATGATGTGTGTTATGGCTTGGCAGAAAGTTTGTCTTGCATTTTGCTCCTGCCCAGAGACTTTGCCTTAGACTGAGACAAAAGAAAATGGACTGATTATTTAATTTCCTTAAAAAGGAAATTAAAAAGCAATGGAATGTTCAGGCCGAGGCATGGCTATTGTTGGGGGCTTTTAGCCAGCTTTATGTTGCAAATCAAGAACAAAGAGCCCAGCAGGATAATCTGCAATACTGTGAGTCTGGCCAGAAGGAAAATTCCAGGAAGGCTGTGGATTGTAAAGACAGAGTTGAGATTTTGATTGATAAGGAGAAACAGAGAGATAAGAAAGATGGCCCTGGGGCATCTCAGGAAGTGAGTCCCCACCCTTTGCAACCTCACTGCAAAGGTGAAAGAATTTGCTCAAAGGAAAAAGCTGCAGAGCACCATGTTCCAGAATGGTGATGGAGGCCACATGAGGTTCCAAAATGGCAACAGAGAGCACATGAGGTTATACAATGGCCGCAACGTACAGAAGCTTTTCCTCACAATCAGGTAAACAGAGCCCTGCAATCCAGGCAACTGACCCCTACAGCCAAGAGAGAGAAAAGCCTGGCTACTGCTCCAGCTGGCAGCAAACCTTGGCGGCATCTACAAGGTGCTGATTTTAGGTGCAAGGAAAATGCACAAATTCTGAGGGTAAGATAACTTCCGCCTCGATTGCAAAGGGCCTGGCTGGCCAAGCAGTGTGCCCCTGAGAGGGAAATTTGTGAAGATGTAAAAGTGAAGCCAAAGGAGTAGTGGAGACCCCAGAAGTTTGGAAAAGCCAAGAACATGGATGATCCAAGGAAAGCTGCAAAAAGCAAGCAGAGAGGATTTAAGAGAAAAGCTGCGGGAGTTGAAATCCCTAGAAGTGCCATGGGGTTGGAATCACCCAAGCCTTTTGGAGCTTGCAACCAGTTTGCTTCAGATGCTGAGCTTGGAACTCTAGGACTTAATGTTTGCCCTGCTGGATGTTGGACTTGCTTTGTTTCCAGTGCTTTCTAAGTTTGTAACTTTTGGAATGGTAATATTTATCTTGTGCCTTTGCATTTCAGAAATGTTTAACCTTGTTTCATTTGTGCAGGGGGTTACAGTTAAGAGTTTGCCATAGATCTTGAAGGAGACTTGGGACTTGGACTATTCAGCAATGCTGAAACTGTTAGAACTTTGGCAACTCTTGGAGGTGGACTAAATGTCTTTTGTATAATGGACGTACATGAGTCCTGGGGGCCAGGGGTGGAATGTCATGGTTTATGTCTGTGGCCCCCAGGCCTCATGAGTTTGCATTGTGCATTTTTGATGGTTCACTGTCTAGTGCTTGGATTGATGGTGTCAATGCTCCACCCACATAGGGGTGGAGCCAAGATGTGATGTAATGGCAGGAAGAAGGTGTATCTTGCTCTTTGCTGGTTCTTGCTTGCTGTTTGCAGCTGCCATGAACTGTGGCCCAGCCATGCCCGCCTGCCTGTCTTGGAGCCAACTGAGTGTGGACTGAAACCTCCAAAAACTGTAAGAAATAAACAGTTTTATCGTTTCCTTTCCCAACTTGGGCTTCAGCTATTTTGTCTCAGCAACAAGTAAAAAGTAACTAAGACATCCACCAACTGTTTCTGAGCTGTTCTCTGTATTGGTCACTTGTGCTTGTGATTAGGTATATCCTTCTTAAATTCAAGAGGTGTACTAAATGATTCAATGAAAACCCACTGAAAGAAAATAGCATAAATAAAAGGTTTAATTGAGGAAAAAGTCAAATTGTTGAATGTTAAAACAGTTGAAAACAGTTGAATGACCAAGAGAAACACAGTAAGCCAAAAGAAAGCGTATCAGTTTCCTCCTTTCTACAAATGCACACACCCAGAAAGTCCACAGAACAGTTCTTACTAAGTTCATATTTTCTTTGCTGGCATTCTTCAGTTCATCCATAGCCACAGATTCCGGAGTAGGATACTTGTTTTTCTTTTCTGACATCATCTGATTTCCCAGGACTTTGCGCTGATTTAGGAACAGAAAAGATTTGATTATAAACATTTACTGTATCTCCACTTGTAGGCATTCTAGCCTTCTAAACTACAATGTCCTTAGCTTAAAAAAAATCATTCTGACAACTTCTGCATGTACTCTCAGCCATCTCATAAAACAAAACAAAACAAAAAAACCACGCTTTTCTCTAAGTAATTACTTTCCAAAAACTTTAAAAAGGCCTGAGATATTAGAACCAATTTTATGCTTAATTTAAATCAGCTATTATAGGCCAACTGCAGTATTCCTCTAAAACCATAAAAGAAACATCAGTTACCAATGTAGGTCTTTCCCTGTAGTGTGTTGTCTTTGGTAGCTGTAAAGAGTCCCTTGCCCCTCCTCCCTAAAGGCTATGTAAGCTGTTCTGCTCTAAGATTTTTCATCCCTATCATACCCTCACACAGAACTGGAGAATTTGAAGAAACTCGGAGATTCTAAAATAGCCAAAAGAGCCTACAGGCCTTCTTAGCAGGATCACATGACTGTACTGCCATTCAGATCAAGACTAGAAGTCTTTTCATCTCTGAGCAGCTTAGAAGCTGAGCTGACAGTAACAATTTTACCATCTTTGGAGAAATCTTTCTTTTCCCCTTAAAGAATAAATCTGAATTCCAAAGAAAGAACATGCAAAAACTAAAACATTAACACTACATTATAAATATCAACAACAATATTCAGGATATTCTGATATAATAAATTAACTTAAATGAGAATTTCTAGAGGAAAAAAAATGTAGCCAAAGCAGGACAGATTGTCATGTGTACATAAATAAAGCCAAGGAGGGATTAATTTTTTAATTTTTAAATAAAGGATAGAAATGAAATAGCTAAAACATAGAAATAAAAACAGAAACAACATATCCTCCTTTCACAAGTCAGATATCACCAGAGAGGACCCTGGAGTGGGAGTGGCACAGGACTGGTTGTAAAGTTTCCAATGAACTATGAAAAAGACATTTCATTAGTCCACTGCATAGCTACTGAACAAAGCCTACAACCACTATCAGCTCGAGAATCTCTGCATGTGCAGCCAGGCATGGTGCCACATGCCTATTATCCCAGCACTTGGGAGGCTGAGGCAAGAGGATCTCTGGGAGTTTGAGGCCAGCCTGGACTACACAGTGAGCTTAAGGTCAGCTTAAACTACGTAGGTAAGACTCTAACTCAAAAAACAGAATAGCCGGGCATGGAGCCACATGCTTGTAATCTCATCACTCAGGAGGCTGAGGCAGGAAAATTGCTAGGAGGTCAAGGCTATAATGAAGCATATTGAAACCCTACCTCAAAAAGGTAATAATAATAATAATGGCAATAAAAAAACAAAATTGTTGCTCCAAATGTTTTATCCTAATATAACTATAAGCTATTTTATAAATTCTGAAGTTCTAAATATTTTCAGTAAAGAAGTGGGCAGCAGCCAAGGAAAACACTATTTATTTACATTTCAAGCAATAATTAGCTGATATACCTAAAACCAACACCTAAAGGACAGAAAACTATACCGTCTAACTTCAGTTAAACAAACACTTGTTTGAGTATATCTTTTATCAATTGTCTTTATAACAGAGAAGTCATAGGGAGTGACGGATTCTTCCAACTGAAAAGGAAAAAGTAATAGTAAACCAAGGTTGTTCATTTTGGACTAGCTATGAACAGGTGAATGTACTTCTAGTACAGAAAATTTTTTAAACTACAAAAAATATACATAAAACTTACCATTTTATCCACTTTTAAGTGTTTAGTTCAGTGGCACTAAGTATATTCACAGCAGCATATAGCTGCTACCCTGCCATTCATCCCCATAATTCTTTCCATCTTCTCAAACAGAAACTCTGTACCCGTGATAGCAAACCTTTGAGAGATAAGTGCAGTGCCCAAACTGCAACCCAAAGCTCACTTTCAGGGAAAAAAAAAAAACACCCTCGGAACTTCTGGGAGAACATGGCGGATAGATAACAGCAGCTATGGAGGCTCCATGAGATAGCCAGCTTAGATACCAGGAATGGTGCGATGTGAGGAATCCTAAGCAAGGGGAGATATACCCTGCTGACCCAGGAACGAACTAAGCTGAGAGAAACCAACTAGAAATGCAATCCCGATGCTATGACCGGAACAGATAAAATCTCAGCACTGAAGTTGGAACCTGTGCCTCTGGAAACCACGATTTGAATTTCCTGCCGCTGCTGCTGTATCTGAATCGGCACAGCAGGGATAGACATGTGAAAGCTCTGAGAGTGGGAATCAGCGAACCGAACTGAGAGCAGAACTGGTAGGGAGCCCTGCATCGACCAGGAGTGAGGGGGAGGAACAGGGACTTTTCCATAGACTAGGAGGCTCCAACACAGGACATTCTGGGACCAGGCAGACTAGCCGGAACAGGACGCTGCAGTGACTTTAGTTGCATATTCCCCTCGCAAGCGGGATTGGTGGGGAGCACCTGACCTGGGTGAAGCCACGGACTAAGACCAAGTAGGGTAGCCCAAACCAGGTCCCAGTGCCTGGTGGTGCACTCTAGCAGTGAAGCTTTCAGTAGGTTGATCTGGAGGGGAGGGCGCAACATACGCTGCCCTGGTCTGTGTCTCCCTAGTACACTGCAGTGGGTGGGAACACCTAGCCGGCAGATTCAAACAAACTGTAACCCACAAAGAAAGAAATTGGGCCTCCTATATACGCCTGTATGGAAGGAACAAAAAGTATGGGAAGAGGAGGCAACAAGAGACGGTCCTCAGTCCCCAATCCTGAGAACACTGATCCAGGAAAGGTAAATGCACAGGAGAATGAGGACAGAAAACATGCAATATCAGACATGGCACCAATAGACATAAAGCAGTATCTCTGGAGCCTCATAGACGAGTTCAAAACTGAAGTATTTAACAAAGTAAAGCAAGATATAAGTAGAATAGTTAGAGAAATGCTAAGCTCTGCCCAAGAAAAACAGGTGGTGGAATGGAAGAACAGAGAAAAAGGGGAGAATTTTTGATGGAGAAAATAGAGAAAACATAGAATACATGAATCAGGTTCAAAGAGATTACCAGGAAACTAAAACTCTACTGAAAGCTGGCATAACAGCTTGAAAGAAACTAAGGATAGATTATCTGAACTGGAGGACAGATTTGTAATGTGGGAGCATGAAATGAAAAACTTCTTAAAAATAACAAGGAAACAAGCAGCAATAATACAAAGGCTAGAAGATGATAAGTGGATCTATAACTTAAGAATTAAGAATGTAAAGGAAGAAGTAGGGACACAAACAAATGAACTACAAAGGCTATTCACAGAAATAATTCAGGAGAATTTCCCTAATTTAGCAAAAGGTAAAGATACTCAGACGTATGAGGCATACAGGTCCCCAACCACCTACAACCCAAACAGAACTATACCCAGGCATATAATAATCAAAATCCCAGAAATCCAATATAAGAACAGAGTATTAAAAGCCGTCAGAGACAAGAAACAGATCACTTACAAGGGAACACCCATCAGAATTACAGCAGACTTCTCGGCACAAACTATCAAATCACAAAGAACATGAGGAGAAATAATTCAAGCTTTGAAAGATAATAACCTCCAGCCAAGATTGATATATCTTGCACAACTGTCCCTAGAAATTAATGGAGAAACAAGGTGCTTTCAGGATAAAGAGGAACTAGGGGAATTTGCAACCACCAATTCAACTCTACAGAGAATACTGCAGGATATTCTAAAAAAGAAAAATACCAAGATTCCAGAAACAGTGGCAGAGAGGCCACAATGAATGGAGCAGAAAGCGAAATGAAGAAGACAAATTGACAACTAATGACAGAAAAAGAGCTCAACAGAAATGAGGCAGAGAAAGTTGGGTGGTAGGAACAGCTATTTTGGAGAATATAAGACATCATAATAGCTAGTGCTGATTTAACATCATCTTGTTTTGAAGTCTCATCAAGCTTTTGTTCTTCTGTCTCCATCAGTCTTAACATGTTGTATCTTACTGAATTTTATTATATGTGATAATACAAACAAAAACTTTTATAGACAAGGAGATTATACAGAAACCATGTTCATTTTGTTAGCTGATTCTAAATACCCTGTAATACTGTCATTCTCTTGAATGGTTTTACAGTGTCTTGATACGTTTGATGCTACAGTACATGAAGTTATACTCAAAGATTTCAAAGAAAGAGAAACTATGGTAACTACTTTTATGTCGGGATTATTTTGTGGTGAAACACTATTTTGTTTAAATGGTTATGTTCTGACCTGTGCTGTTGTGTTGTTATGTCCTCTTTTATCTCAATCTCCTTTTTTTATTATTTACTTTTTTATTTTTATCTTTTTAACTAAGGGAAAAATAAATAAAAAATGGCAGGATATAGTATAGTAACCCACTTTGATTTCCTATTAACTTGATTTGAAACTCTGTATTGCTCTCACCATCTTGTTTTGACTGATTTTTCTCTATTCTGTTTTGCTTGATTGTACCAAATTTGAGAGTATAGGCAACAACTGTGAAGACAATAAGATTCACTATGACGCCCATTCTGGTTTGACTATTATCTTCTTTTGAAGTCCTGTAATGTCTCCAATGTTTTGGTTTTATTGGTTTTGTTCTTTACTGTTTTGTTCAATTTTATTATAACTGATGATATAGGCAATTCTTTTTAAGATAGTAAGAGGCATTATGGCAACCATTGTTGATCACCTTGTATTCTGTTTTTACATTATGTATTATGTCCATCCTTTTGATATGACTGACTCTGTTTTGTTATATCACATTTGGTTTTACTCTCTTCAAAAAAAGGAATAAGAACTGTGGGAGTAATAACTGCATGTATATTTAAGTGTATATGATAGATAACTATATTACTGTTTTGTTGGATCACTGAACAGAACTGTTTGCAATCTCATTGTTTGTCCACTTTATATGCTTTAATTTTGTAACTTGAGCAACTATTTCTAAGATGACAGTATGTAATCTATTAACTAGTGATTTCTTACTGTTTATTTTTTCTGCAATTCTGTATACCTTGTACCCTTTTTGTTTTTTTAAATAAACAAAATTTAAATACCCTGTAATACTGTCAGGGTAGAAGACAATCTTATTGTCTTCACAGTTGTTGCCTATACTCTCAAATTTGGTACAATCAAGCAAAACAGAATAGAGAAAAATCAGTCAAAACAAGATGGTGAGAGAAATACAGAGTTTCAAATCAAGTTTTTAATCAATTCCTTAAATAAAATTTTTTAAAAACCCTCACATATCATCTTCTGTCTTAAGAGAAAATAATACGTGTTCCTTAGGTTCACCACCACTGCTCTACACCAGTTAGATGACTCCCTACTTCCTTCATACACTCCTAGATGCTGATGACTTCCATATACTGTCTCTATGACCTTGATCACATTAGGTACCTCATATACATGAAACTGTGTAATATTTGTCTTTTTGTGTCTGGTTTATTTTACTTAGCATAATGTCTTCAGATCCCATCCATATTATAGTAGATGTGAGAATTTCCTTCTTTTTAAGGATTTATAGTATTCTATTGTCTGTATATATCATATTTTGCTTACTCAATACATTAACTTATGAATGAAAAGCTGGGTTGATTCCACCTGCTGGCAACTATGCACAGTGCTGCAAAAAGCACCGACCAAGTATCTCCGCGATGCGGCTGGCGATTTAGCTCAGTGGCATAAGCACCTGCCTTGGAAGCAGGCGTTCATGAGTTTGATCCCTGGTACCGATTTAAAAAAAAAAATATCTCTGCAAGACCCTACTTTTCGTTCTTTGAGTTGTATACAGATATGGAAATGCTGGACCATACGTAATTGTATTTTTAATTTTTTCAAAGACTGTCATGTGGATCTAGTTTTGATTTTTGGCATGTAGAAAGCCAGTTTTTCCAGCACCATTTACTAAACAGGCTGGAAACACTGGCTTTCCACATGCCAAAGATTTAAAATAGATCTATATCTTTCACCATGCACTAAACTAAAATCAAAATGCATCAAAGATCTAAATATTAAAACAGGCGGGCTGCTGCCTGCTTGGGGAGAGCCAAACCCAATGCTCTGAGTCAGTGCCATTCGAAGACTGCAGAGGGAGAAAACCAGGCCCCATGGGAGGAGACCCCTGCCCAGATATCAGTGCCATGAGTGGGCTGCTGCTTGGGGAGAGCCAGACCCAGGCCTCTCTCTGAGTCAGCACCATTTGTGGACCCTGGAGGGAGAGCCACTACCTACAGGAAGGAGATCTTCCTATCCTGAAAATCGTATGATTTTCATTGGGTTTTTTTTTTTTGGGGGGGGGGGCGGTATTTTATCTTGTTTGTGTTAACTCTGATGGTGTGAGCAGCTATTTGAAAGATAGCAAGACATGTTATGGAAGCCATTATATATTTACTACTGGCTTGTTTTGAGGTTCTTTATTGCATTTATTGTTTTGTTTTTATTGTTTCTATTCTATTCTGTTCTGTTCTATTTTTAGTATGTCCAAAGGTGGTACCTAACAAAGGCACTGTGTAACTATTGTTGATTTCAAAAGTTTTGGAAATCTTGTATCACTTATTCTGTTTTATTTTGATTGATTTTCTTCTGTTTTATTTTCCTTGGCTTTTTTCCTCTTTAAATCATAAATAAATAAATATTAAAACAGAAATACTAAATCTCCTGGAAGATAGACATCAGTACTTTATGAACAAAACTCTGATTGCACAGAAACTATCACACCACACAACTGGGATCTTGTCTTACTAAAAAGCTTCTGCATAGCAAAAAAACCCCAATGGAGTAAAGAGACAACACAGGAAAAAAATTTTGCCTGCTATTTCTCAGATAAAGGACTAATATCTACACTATCTAAAGAACTCAAAAAAATCTGAACCCCCCCAATTTAAAGATCCAATCCAAGAATGGGCATGTGATGAATATATACTTCTCAGATGAAATAGAAATGGTGAATAAATATATCAAAAAAGATCAACATCACCAGGTATTTGAGAGATGCAAATTAAAGCAACACAGATTCCATCTCACTTCAGGAAAACTGGCTATTATCAAGAAATTCATCAGTAACAAATGCTGGTGGGGATATGCGGAAAAAGGAACCCCTCTCCATTGTTGGTGGGAGCGTAGACTGGTATAACCACTATAGAAATCAATGTGGAGATTCCTCAAAAAACTAAAACTAGAGGTTTTGTTCAACCTAGCTATTTCCTAATTCTGAAAGAATTAAAAATATCATACCCAGTGATATATGCATACCTGAGTTTATAGCCATGCAGTTTGTAATTGCCAAATCTAGGAAACAGCCCAAATGTCCATCAACTGATGAATCAAGTAGATGGGAATTTTTATACAATTGAATACTGCTCTGCCACGAAGAAAGATAAGTGTGAGACATTTCTAGGTAAATGGTTGCAGCTCTTAAGTGAAATAAGACATGGACACATGTGTAAATATTGCATTGTTTCCCTGGTACAAGAAACAGAAAGCATACATAAGGACCAAAATGTGCAATGCATATTGAGAAATCGGAAAAAATGTTCAAATGGGAAGATGAATTAAGGAGGGGAGAGGGATAAAGAAAGGGAAAGAAAAAATGAGAAAAGAAGAAAAAAATGGGAAAAAAACTTTTGTAAATAAGTAGAGGAAGAAGGGTTGAAGGGAGGGTGGGAGAATGGGAAAAAAAAGAATCAACTTATATCATGTACAAATACAAATTCCTTATAGTGAATGTGATCATTACGTATACCTAAAATATACCCGTTAATTTACATGTAACATGTACAGGGACAAATTCCTTATCATGAATGTGATCATTATACATACCTAAAATGTACCAATAAACTTAAGTAATTAAAAAGGTGAAAAAAAATAAAGACTGTAACATAGCTTTCCTCAGCACTTGTATCATTTTACAACCCCAACAGTATGCAAAGTTTTTCACTTCTCCTCATCCTAATCAACATTTGTTATGTTTTTATCTAACAATATCCATCCTAGGAGACATGAAATGGTATCTCACTGTGGTTTTGATTTACATTTCCTTAGGGCTAGTGATGCTGAGCTCATTTTCATGTATGTCTTAGTCATCTGTATATCTTCTTTGGAGAAACATCTATTTAAATCCTCTGCCCACCTTTTAATGAGGTTGTTTTTATGTTGTGTAGTCATTGAACTTTTGCTAAGAAGTTAGATTTTGAATATTAACTCCTAACCAGATATATGACTTGCAAATATTCTCTCCTATTCCATGAGTTGCCTTTCTACTCTGTTGATAGCAAAGGAAATTTTGATGTCAAAGAAACCTAATGTCCCAGAAGCTGTTTGCACCAGCGGATTAAAACCAAGAGCAAATTCTAGACACTCAGAAATGATAACAAGGACCAAAATTAGAGTTAAGTGAATTTGCAGAGCAGGCATGGTGGTTCACACCTGTAGTCCCAACCCTTGGGGAGCTGAGAAAGGAAGTGTGAGTCTGAAGTCAGCCTCTACCGTAAGACCTGTCTCAAAAGCCAAAAGAAAAAACAAAACAAACAAACAAAAAAACTGCTAACAGTTGTTCCTTAAAAAAAAAAAAAGAATTAGAAGATATCCATTTTTTAAGACTAAAGTTTAAACTGAAGGGCTCCATAGTATTGCTGGATTTATATATCTTAGTAATGTTAAAACAATTTTGGAAAAAAAAAATAGTACAACACCAAATGGTGCTAATCTCTCTCCAAGTTAACCAGAACCTGCTTAATAGCTTAAGTGGAAATTTTAACTCCATAACCAAGTTATCTACTGCCACCTGATGGTAATATCCCTTAACTACAAATTCAAATTATTAACCTGTAAAGTGAATACACAGTGATGGATGGCACCAATAGCACAGAAATATATTTATCCTAAAAACAAGATTTTTAATGAATTTGATGCAAGGGAAGAGAATACAACAACTAAAATATTTAGCTTATACACACACACACACACACACACACACACACACACAAAACCCCATTAAGCTCACTAAAATCCATTTTTTTATTTCCCTAGTCTCTTAACTTCCTCACTTTTACATAGGTTTGGCAATTTGCATAAAGGGATGTAGTACAAGGTAGGTCAGAAAGTAAAGGAGATTGTGCATACTGGTCAGGAATGAAACCTCTGCCCTCAGTCCCAGAAAAGGAAGAATTTCTATTTCTTTTATTTCCATAGAGTCCTTTCTCTGGTTTGAAACACAGCAAAATGTTTTGCAATGAAAGTTTTCTCAAATTCTTTTTTACAAATTAACCCCAATGGAACCCTTAGGGACAGAAGAAAGTCTTTTAAACACTGGCTAAGTCAGTTATATGCCAGGAAGGGGGTGTGTGCCTATACACCCACACTGAGGAGATAGAAGGAGAAGGGTTGTGCATACAAGGCCAGGCTACACAGTGAGCTCCAGGCCACCCTGAAGCCTATCTCAAAAGCAGTGAGAGGGTAAAAGGGAAGGTGGTAGGGAGAGACATAGACAGAAACAAAGAAAATAAGGGGCACAGGAGGCTGGGCTTAGTGGAAAAGTCTGTAATCCCAGGACTTGGAAGCTGAGGCAGTAGGACAGCCCAGGCTATATAGTGAGTTCAAGGCCAGCTTGAACTACATGGCAAGACCCTGCCATAAAAACTGAAAAGAAAAGAGAAGAGGGGAGATGAGAAAAGGTAAGAGAGGAGAAACAAGGGGAGGGGAGGAGAGAGGAAAAGGGAGGGGAGAGGAGGAGAAGAAAGGAAAAAAAAAAGCAGACTTAAATTTCCTCAAACTCAATATTGAAAGACAGCACAGCACACCTACCTTAATAAGCCCACTGAAGGAGCGTGAACGGGCCCTCTTCTGTACCCGGGGAGTAGACGGTTCTCGTCCTGGTGTTTGGGTCAAAGACTGCTTCTGAAACTAAAAGAAACAAGTGAACACTTTATTAAAATTCTCTCAGCAACAGTTTTTCTGGGTGCAGTTGTGTACACCTATAATACCAGCTAGCTAGAAGGCTGAGAGAACAGAACTGCACATTCAAAGGCAGCCTAGGAAACTAGCCACACTCAGTCTCAAAACTAAACAAAAAGACTGAGGATATAACCTAGTTACAGATTACTTGCCTAACATGTATTAGGACCTTGGTTTAAGTCCCAGCACTACCAAAAGAAGAAGAAAAAAAGTCCAGGAATAAGTAAGTTTGTACACATTAACAAGGTGACAAGCAAAATACAGGGCAGAAATGGAGGATGGGACATAGCCTATTGGTAGAGTTGCTCGCCGATTATTATACACAAAGCCAAAGGGTTCAACCCCCAGCACTGCAAAAAGTGAATAAACAAAGGCAGAAACTATGCTTCCATTAAGAAATTAAAATGTAACCAAGCATGGTGGCGAACACCTATAATCCCAAGCACTCAGGAGGCTTGTTACAAGTTTGAGACCCACCTGAGCTACAAAGTGAGCTCGAGGACAGCCTGAACAGCATAGCAAGACTCTGTCTCGAGAAAGGAGAAAGGAGAAAGGAGAAAGGAGAAAGGAGAAAGGAGAAAGGAGAAAGGAGAAAGGAAAGGAAAGGAAAGGAAGAAACCAAAGTGTGCTAAATTACTATGCAGGATCCTGCATTTTCTATTCCTTGAATGTGGAATTACCACCTTATTTTATAGACAAGGAAACTGAGAATTAGCTTATATAATTTGCTTAAGATTTCTTGCCAGTAAATCATTATTTTTCTTGCATAAAAGTATCTTGGACATATAGCATCCAAACTAAAACAGTGCTTAATTTAACACAAATTGCACATCACATTTTTTAAAAAGTTACTAAAGTGGTTTAAATAGAGTTCTTATCATTAAAAGAAATGTATCAGAATACAAATTTTCAATACTATCAACATCAGCTCTCTATGTGAAGAATCTAAAGTAGGAAAAAGAAACAGATAAAGCTTACTTAATGTTTTGATTAGATCTTCATTTCCTCACCTAAATAATAATATAGTACCTAAAGCCAGCTGATATAGTATCTAATCCCAGCATTTGGGAAGCTGAGGCAGGAAGATCAAGTTCAAGGTCAGTCTGCTACATAGTGAGACTCTGTCTCAAAAAAAAAAATAATAATAATAATAGTAATAATAATGTACCTAATTAAAGAATCTACTACCTTTTTAACTATAGTTGTAATTTCTGAATTAGCAAACTTATATGTATCATTTGTATACTTATATGTATCATGTAGCAAACATATCTATCATTTCAGATTCTGGGGGCTAAAATATGACATTTTTAATATACAGATACCAAGAAATTTTCAAAGTTAATTTTTGTAGCAGATATATATTTAGCTACTTTTAAAATCCTTACCTAGTAAGTAGTCTCTAAACTTATTGGGCTGAGTAAAAAACCAAAATTTCTGATTAAATTGACAAGAGTACTAGGGTAAGTTCTCTCATATCCAGTTTGGGGAAATGTTAATTGATAAAATGTTCTGGGAGAGAAAAAAAAGCTGAGTGTGGTGGTGCACTCCTGTAATCCCACCACTCAGGAAGCTGAGCCAGGAGGATCTTTGCAAATTCAAGACCAACCTGGGCTACAAGGTGAGCTCAACGCCAGCCTGAACTGCATAGTGAGACCCTGTCTCAAAAAGAAAAAAAAACTCTGGGAAGCTCTTTAGTTAACGTATATTCAACTAAAGAGTCCTTTAAAAGGGGCTGGGGATTTAGCTCAGCAGCATAAGTACCTGCCTTGCAAGCAGGCGGTCGTGAGTTTGATCCCCAGTACTGATAAAAATGAAAAAGACAAAAAAAAGAGTCCTTTAAAAACAGACTCCATTAAAATGCATATTAAAAAGTATATACCACCTATAAGTATTTTGGTAAGTATTCTTACCAAAAAGAAAGTAAATGACCTGGAATCAGATCAAGTCCCCAGAAACAAATCTAATTATCAGTTCATAGCAAATAAAGAGGACTGAGGAACATATTAAGTAACACTATAGGGATGCAAACAGAAAAATTCAGACTAGAGAATATAAATGATTTTATTTCTTCTAAAAATAAAATTCAAATAGAGAAAGGGAGAATGTGTACACATGTGTGTTTATGTCTAAATGCAATGTGGAGCAGAAAAAGGACATTAATGTAAAAACTGATAAAATCTGAATAAAATCTACAATGTTAACAGTAACATAGCAATTACTCAGAATTAATTTCTGAGTTTTAATTATTAACATTACAAGGAAGCAGGTGATGGGTGAAGGGTATGTGGGAACTCTACTATCTTTGCAACTTTTCTCTAAATCTAAAATTATTTTAAGTTTAAAAGTTCCTTCAAACAGGCTGAGGGTGGCGGCTCACACCTGTAATCACACTTGGAAGGCCAAGACAGGAGGACCGCCACAACTTTGGGGCTGGCTTGGGCTACCCAATGAGTTCAAAGTCATCCTGAACTACATGGTCAGACTTTGTCTCAAAAAAACCAAAACAACAACAACAAAATACTTCATATAAATAAACTATTTTGCAATTTTTTTCAGGGGGAAAAAAAGAAAAAGGGGAGAGAAGGAATGACCTGTATATTAAAAGTGACATAATAGATACCTTGATTTTACAAAAAAGAGTATATATCCTTTGGCCATGTTATTTTTAGAAAATAATCTGTAAATTTTATTATTATTTATTTATTTATTTTTGGTACTAGGAAACAAACTCAGGGCCTTGCACTTGCCAGGCAGGCACTGTGCCGCTGAGCTACACCCCGGGCCCATAATCTGCAATTTATAAACAAAAACCTAAAAGCTAAAAAATACTAATTCCTTCAACATACCAAATAGTAGGCAAATTGTACATAAATTAAGTCTTATAGGATGGAACATTATGCAAACATTAAAAATATTCACAATGATGTGGAAAATGTGAAACAAAGTTAATGAAAAAACAGACTATATTATGATCTTAAAAAAAATATATATATATATATATATATTTATTCATAAAGAAAAACATTAGAGACGAATCATGTTTTCGCCTGAGTCAAGCTCCACCAAGGGGATCAGGAAGAGACTCAGCACGCCTTCTCATACACCAGGCTCTGCCACAGGGATTGAGAGAAGACTCAGAAAGAAAATGGACCACACCTTCCTGTGAGCCAGCTGGTATACAGGTGGGAAATCAGAAAAGTATATATATCTGTGCCCCCTACCAGCCCTAAGCAACTGGCTGATTGAGAGGACTCAGGGTGAGATAACGGCAACTGGGGTGAAAGGAATAGCTTGATGCTATTGTTTAATTGACTTTGCAGACCTAGGATTGGTCTGGGCCTCTATTTGGAGGATGGCAGTGTATACTGTGGCAGCCATGGGGGATTTCCTTCTGACTTATTTTTGAATGTTTTGTTCTATTTTATTATTTTCTTTTATTCCTGTTTCTGGTAATCTGAGCAACTATTTTGAAAGTAACAATATGAAGCATAACAACCATTATTAAATTATTATCATTTGTTTTGAAAACCTATATAGCTATTATTGTATTGTTGCTGTTGTTTCATGTTTTTGTTGTTGTTTTTTAGGTTTGTTTGCTTCTTAATTTTTCTGTTTTTTTTTTTCCCTTTCAAATAAAAAAAAGTTAGTGGGCTTAGTGATGATGCCTATAATTCCAGCACTCAGGAAGCAGGAGGATCACACCAAGTTCAAGGCCAGCCTGGCCTACAAAGTAAGTTCAAAGGCAGCCTGAACCATACAGTGAAACACTGCCTCAAAAAAAGACCCAATAAATAAATAAATAAATGCTCACACAAAAAAAAATTAGAAGAAAATACTACAAATGTTACCAGCAATTACTTCTGAATGATTATACATGATTTTATTTTTTCCTTTACACTCTTTAACAAGTCTCAATGTTTCTATAGTGAGCACACATATAATTTTTAGTTTCTCCAAAAACATAAGTCAATATTTAAAATGTATACAGTGAGTTTACAATCACGCATGCTATAATATTTAGTGAAAAAAGGAGAGATTTTAAAAAGTGTATGATATTGCCAAGCATGGTGGCACATGCCTGTAATCCCAGCACTCTGAGAAGCTGAGAAACAAGGGGAACATAAATTCAAGTGCAGGCAACTTGGTGACTTTTCCAGACCCTGTCTCAAAATGAAGAATAAAAAAAGACTGGGGATGTAGCTCAGTGCACGGCCCCTGGGTTTAGTTGCTAATCTATCTGTCTGTCTGTCTGTCTGTCTGTCTCTCTCTCTCTCTCTCTCTCTCTATATATATATATATATATATATATATGTAAAAATATATTGTAAGAAAAAGGCTAAAAGAAATGCTCAAAATATAGACATTGTAATTCCAGCACTTATTGAGGCAGGAGGCCAGCCTGGGCTCCACCAGCCTGAACTACATAGTAAGATCCTGCTTCAAAAAGCCAAAACAAACAAACATTGGTGGGATGAGTGATTATTTTTTATCCTTTATCCATAAGTTCCTGTCTTTAAAAGAAAAAAAAGGGACTGGAGATTTAGCTCAGCGGCATAAGCACCTGAGTTCCACCCCCAGTTCCAAGAAAAAAAGAAAAGTCATGTTTTTCCTTTTGTATTACTTTATCTTTAATCCTCAGTACTCTTGTTGAGAGAAGTCATTACACCTGTCCTACTGAAGTCTATTGATAATTAAATCACTAGCTGCTTTGAGTCTACAATACTCAGCCAGCACCCTGTAAAATTCCAGTCACAGAATAATTTGTAGACCTTAAACTCCAAAAAGCAAAAAGTGTTAATTGCTTAGAATAACTTAGATCTACAACAATAACAAAAAAGCTTAGCTCATTAACACCTGACCCTCTATGCTTGGTATCAAATATAAAATAAGGGGCTGGGGATTTAGCTCAGCGGCATAAGCGCCTGCCTTGCAAGCAGGCAGTTGTGAGTTCAATCCCTGGTACCGATAAAAAGGAAAACGACAAAAAAAAAAAAAAAAAAAAAAAAAAATATATATATATATATATATATATATATATATAAAATAAATGACAAGCTTAAGAGGGTCCTAAGCTGAATAAGAAATGAGACTGACTGTGAAATCTAATTTATATGTGCTCTCTTTGGCAACACATATATTAAATGCCCCTTCCGCCCCAAAGTCCATATATTAAAGGCTTAGTCCCCAGTTTGTTGTGCTACTAGGAGATGGCAGGATCTTGAAGTGAGGCCTACCAGAGGTTTTAGTTCACTAAGAGTGTGCCTTCAAAGGGGACCGTAGGGTCCTGGTCTCTCCCTCTTTGTGTCCCCCTATGAGATAAAAAGTTTTGTTGTCCTCCCTGACACCATGTGCTGCCTTACCACAGGTCAAAAAGCAACAGAGCCACCCAATCACAGACTACAATCCCCAAAACTGTAATCTAAAACAAACTTTTCATTTAAATTGATTAACTCAGTTATTTGCTACAGTAATGGAAACCCAAATTTTATACAGTAACCCTGCCTATTCAACTAAATTTGAAGAAATTGAAACAAAAATGAATTATCTGAGAAACAAACTACTCACATCACCAGGATTTACTCAAACTACACTCAACAAAGCAAATGAAATACTTAATTTCGCTCCCACAATTTCAAAATAAATAAAATTACCCCCCAAAAAATTCTTTCATACTTTGTAGGATCAGATAGACCTTGATTTATAGTCTGTTTCAACTGTAAACAATTCAATTAGTAAGAGTTACAACTTGCCAGCCACTCTATGTATTGCCTTTCTAAATAAGAAAATTAAGATTCAGAAAGGAAGTTATTTGTCAGGAAAATTCAGTGTTTCAAATCTGAAACTATGTATCAGAATTCCTTGTTCTCTTTAAGCAAATTTGTTACACTGTGTGACTAAAGTTAGAGACACTTTAACCACAGCTGGAGCCTCTTATTTAACTGGAAAACTCTCAAACAGCCTCCTCTCCTTTCTCCAGGAGGCTGCAGTGCACTGAGACTCCGGAGACACATTTGCTTTCTTGGCTGAACCAATGCCTGTCCCCAGGAGAGCTAAAAACTACATAGGATCCTGTTTAACAATGTTCTCTAGTGATTCTACAAAGACTGTCAGATCTTTGAAGATCCATCACCATCTCCCTGCCTTCAAGGCACCTGTCTAATGAGTTGTTTCTTCTTTGCTGACTCTGGCATACTGTGAACATGCTGGAAGAGCTCCCTCAGTGCCTCTTCTGTACGCTGCTGGATCTCCTCTTGCTGAGAGCAGGAATCTGCCTGGTTCCATTTCTGAGATTTTGCCAGCGAGAAGGACTTAACATGACATGCAGTGGTCAGATCAAGGTCATCCTAAAGAAAATTTAAAAGAAATATAAATTTATCCTATTGGCTTTCTTTTGAGTTTCCACAAAAATGGGGGAGGGGGAGACATGGGAACATGGTATATGCCTACAGTCAAGAATAAAAAAGATCTTATAGTCATGAGATAAAGAGAAATCTCTTGGTAAAGGTTATTTAGTAGTCGACTCCAATGACCTCAGCAGAGAAACTAAGTGCATCTAGAATATTCTCACCAAGAGTTATATTTGCAAAAGAGTTCAGTTTTCAAAACATCTTTTCAGCATCACCTAAACTCATGTAATCTTCACTGCTATCTTACAAGGTAAGCAGGAAAATATCATCATTCCCACTGAAATACTGAGGTTAAGCTATAAAGTCACACTGAAAGGACAGGCACATCTTGGAACACAAGCAGACTGCTGCTTGGCCAGTGCCCTTTCCCATATATGACAATTTAATGTAATAACTATTTGGCAATAGTAAAGGAATAAAAACAGGACTCTTTTAAGAAAAGCTGCTCTCCAGTTAAACTAACTGAAATCAAATATTTATTTTCCCAGGCATACCAAGTATTTCCTCAACATGCTCCTGCTGGCCTGAACCTACAGCGGTACATGTATGACTGTCCTAATGGCCAGCATGGGACAGTTCCTCAGGTCATACAAACCACCCAATGGCACAGTCACATATGTACCACTACTGATTCAGAGTTGCCTGGCAGTGAAACATACAAATTATGGCCCTACCATGAATGAACTAAAACAGGGAGAAATAGTCTTTTAGCCATCTAATAGTTTTACCATGCCACTGAACTTGAGTAAGAATGAATTACATAAAACTGGATCTTTGTTATTATAATATATAATATATATTTAATGTATTAGCTATATACAAATATATTTTTTATTTTTATCTTCTATTTTCCATGGCTTCTCTTGATTTTATGTTTCTCATTTTCCTGGTTTTTTTTTTTTTTTAATTCTTCTAATCTTAATTCTCTTTGTTTGGATTAAGAATAGTTTCCTCATCACCTTTAGTGATACTTGCTAAATTGTTCTGGTATCTGCTATAGTTTGAACATGGTTTGTTTCTCAAAGGTTCATATCCTGGAAGCTTGGTCCTCAATGTTATGGTGTTGAAGAGTAAAACCTTTAAGAGGTGAGTCTAGTGGAAGGTGAGTTGTCATAAAGTGAGCCCACCCCAGTTTTTCAGAGCTGTTTCCCTGTTTCTTTGTTATGTTGTGATATAGGTAAAGACGTTGGTACCATACTATCTGTACCTTCCAAACACCAGCATCTTGGGTGAAATAAATTGGAAGGAAGAAAAGAAGGAAAGGAGGAGGGAAAGAGGGAAGGAGAAAAGGAGGGAGGGAGAGAAGGAAAGAAGGAAGGAAGGAAAGAAGGGAAGCAGAAAGAAACAAATAAAGAAATGAATATCTTTGAGAGACTTCCTTCACTCCCATAAGACCCAATCCATTCTGCCATTCACATTAATGTATTCCTGAAGGTGGAGCTTCTATGGTCTGATTACCTTCCACTAGTCCCACCTCTTAAAGATTTTACTCTTCAGCACTATAGCACTGAGGACCAAGCTTCCAAGATATGAATTTTTGGCAGACAAACCATATTCAAAAAAGAAAGTTTTGTATTCTTACCTTTGACAATTGAGCTCTTGAGCCCAAATAGTGCAATCTGGCACATTCTCGAATATAAGCAGGAGCCTGAGCAGGACATAAAAGAAAACCAGAACCTTGTGGTTAGCAGTACCTAAAACTTTTTTGGATCACAAAAACAAACAATGGTTCTCAATATATCTAACAGGTAGATTACTTTAGAAGGCCAACCATATAGCTCTTTTTTCTTGTCACCAAATAGATACCTTAACAAATCTGATGGAAAAACTGTGAGGAGACACCAATACAATAGTTGTTTTTTTCATCCCCGGTACCGATTAAAAAAAAAAATAGTTGTTGTTTTTAAAAAATCAAAACTGGCATATGTACACTCAAGTGAGTTAGACACAAAAATATAGACAGTTTAACAATGTTTATATTTGACTAAAAACATCCCCCAAATCCTTAAATTCCAAATGGTCTCCAGATCACATTTTAGAATCATTATATAGAAAATACCATTTAGGATGACTGTGGGATAGAATCCTATGACAAGTCCTAGTAGAAACATAAAATAACATATCCACTCTTTTACTAAGTATAAAACAATATAATACTTGGAGAACAATATGGTAATATCTAATAAAATTACATTTACATTTATCCATTAATCCAAAAAATGTCACCTCTAGCAATTAATCCTTAAGATGTAACTCCAGAAATACAAAACACACTTGCCTCAAGTTAATCGAAAGATACAACTTAGATGCTTGCTTCTTTGAGGCAGCCAGTCTGGCTGGGAAAAACAGCCAGACATGCCCCTGTGTACCTGCCACCATTGGGGAGTCCTAATGTAGCCATGCAGGCCAGGAGAAGCAGCCCTCCACCACCACACGCCCAAACCCATTGAGGAAGCCTTGATGTAACAACGCAGGTCTAGAGAAGCCTGCTCTGCACTCCACTGCCTCCCTGGGAACCTAGGTTCAGAAAAACCCAGGTGCCTGGCCCATTCCCCTACCCTGTGAATAGCCAACATAGGAAGCACTTGGGGCCCCACAACCAGATCACCCAGAGGAACCCAGGAAAATGTCAAGACAAAGGAGAAAAGACAATCTCAGACCTCCAGCCCACACAGAACAAGTCTGGGAAACAGAGACATGGAAGAAATTAGAATTTGCACACCTGAAATTTCTGAAAGGATAACAACTGAAGTAAAGAAACAACTTCATCGGACTGTAAAAGTAATCAGATCAGAAATAACATCTCAGGTAAAAGAAGAAATCAAAAACAATGAAAGAATTGCTGAGCATATATAAAGAAGACATAGATTTTTAAAAAAAGAGGAGAATAGGAAAATAATAGAAACCTTGAATGAACAATACAGGAAGGAATTACAATGCATGAAACAGATTCAAAGAGACATTCAGGATATTAAATACTCCACTGAAAGCTGGAAAAAAACTGAAGATAGACTTTCAGACCTTGAAGACAAGATTGCAGCTAACAATCACGAAAGAAAAGATCTCTTAAACATAACAAAGGACCAGGAAATAACATTTCAATGGCTGCAAGACAACACAAAGAAAAATACTTTAATAATGATAGGCATCAGCAAAAAAGCAGTAGTCAACACAAATAATATAAAGACTATTTACAGAAGTAATAAAAAATTTCTCAAGCATGGCAAAAAGACCTGACATACAGATAAGTGAGATATACAGCACTCCAACTAGCCGTAACCAAAATAAATCTACAACCAGAAATAAAAAAAAAATCAAGGGCCCAGAATTCAGCAGAAGAACACATTATTAAAGGCTGTTACACAAAAGAAATAGATCACCAATAAAGGAAAACCCATCAAGATCATGACAGACTTTTCAACACAAACCACAAGTCAAGAAGAGCTTGAAGCATTTCAAGTCCTGAAAGAAAAAAACTTCCATTTGTGCATGGTGGCTCATGCCTGTAATCCCAGCACTCTGGAGGCTGATGCAGGAGGATCGTTACGAATTCAAGACCAGCCTGGGCTACAAAGTAAGCTCAAGGCCAGCCTGAACTGCATAGCGAGACCCTGTCTCAAAAAGACAAAAAAAAAAAAAAAAAAAAAAAAAAAAAAGAAAAGAAAAAACTTCCAACCCAGACTGATGTACCTGGCAAAAAAATCAATGGGGACATAAGGTATTTCCATGATAAAGAACAACTGAAAGAACTCATAACCATCAAACCAACCCTATAAAGAGGGAAGGATATTCCAGAGAGATAAAGATGACCACAGTTCCAGGAATAGCAGCAAAGGGGGCTCACTGAGCAGGACAGGCAAATGAACAGAGGGGAAGAATGGGAGGCCAGTGGCAGGAGGATAGCATGGCAGAGATGAGCCCATGCATGCCAGTTGTAACCACTCATGTAGATGACCTTAATTCAAAAAAAAAAAAAAAAAAAGCAAAACACACACACACACAAGGAGAGAGGATCAAGAAACAAGATCCATCAGTATGCTGTATATAAGAAACACATTTAATTCAAAAGGAAATTCACAGACTGAAAATCAAAGGAAAGAAAACAATGCTCCATGCAACGGGAAACCCGAAAAAAGCAGAGGCAGTTTACCCATCAATCACAGAATGGTTAGGAAAGATACCTTATTTTTATACAATGGAAAGCTATTTAGCTATAAAGAAGGATAATCTCAGGCTCTTGTAGGTAAATGGGTGCACCCTGAGATCATGCTTATGAATGAAATGGTTTGAACTCACATAGGTGAATATCATGTTGTTTCCCTAGTGTAAAAAACTGAATGAGTTAGTGGGATCCAAAATGTGCAATAGGGGCTGGAGGTTTAGCTCAGCGGCATAAGCACCTGCCTTGCAAGCAGGTGGTCATGAATTCAATCCCCAGTACTGATAAAAATAAAAAAGACAAAAAAAAAAAAATGTGCAATAGATGTTGTGAAAGTAAAAGGGGAGGAAACTGCCTAAAAGGGAAGGTGGTAGCCATTGTTAATTTCCTTTTATCTTGTTTGAACTCCTATATCATTTTCATTGTTTGGTTTGGTTTTATTCTGTCTTGTTTTGTTTGATTTTACCATGTCTAAGGGTATGAGCAGCTATTTTAAAGATATCAAGATATATCATGGCAGCCATTGTCATTTCCTATTATTTTGTTTTGAAGTCCTGTATCACTTTTATTTATTCTGTTTTGATTGGCTTTATTCTGTCTTACATAGGTTTACTATTAGTAGCAACCACTGTATTATTTTGAAACTAATCTGAATATATTGTAGGAAAGAGCATATAATGCATATAAATACTATTAAAACTTGGAATCCACAGTGTTGAAGAGAGAGAGAGAACTAGAAATATAAAATAAAAGAACCTAAGAGTGTAGGTATGATGGTACATGTCTATAATTCCAGCACTCAGAAGGCTGAGGCAGGAGGATTTCCATGAGTTAGAAGCCAGCCCAAGCTATATAGCAAGTTTAAGGCATGCTTAAACTGCACAATGAGATGCTGTCTCAAAAGAAAAACAACAACAAAAACAAAAAATGTTGGACATGGTGGCACATGCCTGTAATCCCAGCACTGAGAGACAGAGGCAAGAGGCAAGTTCAAGGCCAGCCTGGGCTACATAGTGAGTTTAAAGCCAGCCAACACTGCACTACAAAGTGAGGCCATGTCTTCTGGGAGAACATGGCGGACAGATAACAGCAGCTACGGAGGCTCTCTGAGATAGCCAGCTTAGAATCCAGGAATGGTGCAGTGTGAGAGTCCTAAGCAAGGGGACATATGCCCTGCCGACCCAAGAACGAACTAAGCTGAGAGAAACCAATTGGAAATGCAATCTTGGTGCTATAACCGGAACATATAAAATCTCAGCGCTGAAGCTGCAACCTGTGCCACTGGAAGCCGCGATGTGAGTTTCCTGCCACCACTGCTGCATCTGAATATGCACAGCAGGGAAAGAGATGTGTGAAAGCTCTAGAGCAGGAACCGGTGAATGGAACTGAGAGCAGAACTGGTGGGGAGCCCTGCATCGACCTGCGGTAAGTGAGAGGAATGGGGACCCTTCCATAGACTAGGAGGCTCCAACACAGGACATTCTGGGACCAGGCAGACTAGCCGGAACAGGACGCTGCAGTGACTTTAGTCGCATATTCCCCTCTAAGTGGGATTGGTGGGGAGTGCTTGGCCTGGGTGATGCCGCAGACTAAGACCCAGTAGGCTAGCCCAAACCAGGTCCAAGCACCTGGCAGTGCACCCTAGTAGTGAAACCTTCAGTAGGTTGACTGACTTGGAGGGGTGGGCCTAGTAGAGGCTGCCCAGGTCTGTGTCTCCCATATTACACTGCAGTGGGCGGGAACACCTAGGTGGCGTTTTTCAAACAAACTGTAACTGACAAAGAAACTGGGCTTCCTATATACACCTGTATGGAAGGAACAAAAAGTATAGGAAGAGGGAGCAACAAAAAACAGTCCTCGGCCCTCAATCCTGAGAACACTGATCCAGGAAAGGGAAATGCAAAGGAGAATGAGGATAGAAAACATGCAATATCAGACATGGCACCAATAGACATAAAGTGATATCTCTGGAGCCTCATAGACGAGTTCAAAAGTGAAGTATTTAATGAAATAAAGCAAGATATAAGTAGAATAGTTAGAGAAATGCTAAGCACTGCCCAAGAAAAAACAGATGGTGGAATGGAAGAACAGAAAAAAAGGGGAGAATTGTTTGATGGAGAAAACATAGACTACGTGAAGCAGGTTCAAAGAGATTACCAGGAAACTAAAAACTCTACTGAAAGCTGGCATAACAGCTTGAAAGAAACTAAGGATAGATTATCTGAACTGGAGGACAGATTTGTAATGTGGGAGCATGAAATGAAAAACTTCTTAAAAATAACAAGGAAACAAACAGCAATAATACAAAGGCTAGAAGATGATAAGTGGATCTATAACTTAAGAATTAAGAATGTAAAGGAAGAAATAGGGACACAAACAAATGAACTACAAAGGCTATTCACAGAAATAATTCAGGAGAATTTCCCTAATTTAGCAAAAGGTAAAGATACTCAGATGTATGAAGCATACAGGACTCCAGCCACCTACAACCCAAATAGAACTATACCCAGGCATATAATAATCAAAATTCCAGAAATCCAATATGAGAACAGAATATTAAAAGCTGTCAGAGACAAGAAACACATCACTTACAAGGGAACACCCATCAGAATTACAGCAGACTCCTCAGCACAAACCATCAAATCATGAAGAACATAGGGGGAAATAATTCAAGCTTTGAAAGATAATAACCTCCAGCCAAGATTGATATATCCTGCACAACTGTCCCTAGAAATTGATGGAAAAACAAGGTGCTTCCAGGATAAAGAGGAACTAGGGGAATGTGCAACCACCAATTCAACTCTACAGAGAATACTGCAGGATATTCTAAAAAAGAAAAATACCAAGATTCCAGAAACTGTGGCAGAAAGGCCACAATAAATGAAGAAGACAAACTGACAACTAATGACAGAAAAAGAGCTCAACAAAAATGAGGCAGAGAAAGTTGGGTGGTAGGAACAGCTACTTTGGAGAATATAAGACATCATAATAGCTAGTGCTGATTTAATATCATCTTGTTTTGAAGTCCTATCAAGCTTTTGTTCTGTCTCCATCAGTCTTAACATGTTGTATCTTACTGGATTTTATTATATGTGATAATATAAACAAAAACTTTTATAAACAAGGAGATTATACAGAAACCATTGTTCATTTTCTGTTAGTTGGTTCTAAATACCCTGTAATACTGTCATTCCCTTGAACGGTTTTACATTGTCTTGATACATTTGATGCTTTGAAGTTATACTCAAAGATTTCAAGGAAAGAGACACTATGGTAACTACTTTTATGTCGGTATTATTTTGTGGTGAAACACTATTTTGCTTAAATGATTATGTTTTGACCTGCGCTGTTTTGTTGTTATGCCCTCTTTTATCTCAATCTCCTTTTTTTATTATTTACTTTTTTATTTTTATCCTTTTAATTAAGGGAAAAATAAATAATAGCAGGATATAGTATAGTAACCCACTTTGATTTCCTATTAACTTGATTTGAAACCCTGTATTGCTCTCACCATCTTGTTCTGAGTTTCCTCTATTCTGTTTTGCTTGATAGTACCAAGTTCGAAAGTATAGGCAACAACTGTGAAGACAATAAGATTTATTATGACGCCCATTCTGGTTTGACTATTATCTTCTTTTGAAGTCCTGTAATGTCTCCAATGTTTTGGTTTTATTGGTTTTGTTCTTTACTGTTTTGTTCAATTTTATTATAACTGATGATTTAGGCAATTCTTTTTAAGATAGCATGAGGCATTATAGTAACCATTGTTGATCACCTTGTATTTTGTTTTTACATTATGTATTACGTCCATCCTTTTGATTTGACTGGCTGTTTTGTTATGTCACATTTGGTTTTATTGTCTTCAAAACAAGTAAAGAACAGTGGGAGTAATAAAACCCAAAATGTGTAATTGTCATTGTACAAAAGAGAGGAAAAGAAAGTGCTCTAAAGGATATAACTGCATGTATATTTAAGTGTATAAGATAGATAACCATATTACTGTGTTTTGTTGGATCATTGAACAGAACTGTTTGCAGTCTCACTGTTTGAATATCCACTTTATATGCTTTAATTTTGTAACTTGAACAACTATTGCTAAGATGACAATATGTAATCTATTAACTAGTGATTTCTTACTGTTTTTTTTTTTTTTTTTTTTGAAATTCTGTATAACTTGTACCCTTTTTCTGGTTTTTTTTTTCTTTTTTTCCTTAAATAAAATTTTAAAAAAGAGGAAAGTGAGGCCATGTCTCTAAAACAAAAGCCAAAAAAAAAAAAAAAAAAAAATTCTAAAGTGGCAAATCTGAATTCATATTACTAAAATAAACTTACAATTTCTTTTTTAAAAAATTTAAAACCAGGGCCAGGGATTTAGCTCAGCAGCATAAGCGACTGCCTGGTAAGTATGAGGTTGTGAGTTTGAGTTCCAGTACCAAAAAAAGGGGAAAAAAATGTGTATGTGTGTGTGTATATATATATTTAAAACCTATTGCCTTGTCCTCAAAGAATCTAGAAAATCTAGTGATATCTCAGAAATAATGAATGTACTTATTGCCATTCAAAGAAACTAGGGGTTGTGAATGAAAATAATGCTTCTACATCCAGGGCAGAAAAATTACAAAGTGAGCTGGGAACATTTTATGCTAGAAAGAAGACAAACACTAAGAGTCTTGTCAAAAAAGCAAGAAAGGAGAGAACTCAGGTGGTAGAGCATTTGCCTAGTATGTAGAAGACCCTGGGTTTGACCCCGAGGAACACAAAAGAAAAAGCATTACTGTACAATCCAGTAATGCTACTTCTGGATGCATTCTTGAAAGAATAAAAGGCAGAGTTCTAAAGAGATACTGTACACCCATGGATGTAGTGGAATTAGTTAACAACAGCTTAACCGCAGAAGCAACTCAAGTGTCTATCCTCAGATACAGATTAGTAAAACATAGCATACACACAAAATGGAATACATAACAAACAACATACAAAAAGAAAAAGAAAATCCTATCACATGCTATAGTGAGGATAAAACTTGAGGATATAGGAATGAAATAAGCCAGTGATAAAAAGACAAATATATGATTCCACTAATATAAAGTACTTAAGAGTAACTTAGAGACAGAAAGTAGAATGGTGGTTGCTAGGGAGTGGGTGACAGGGAATGGAGAATTATCATTTAACAGTATTCTGTTTCAGTTTTACAAAATAGACAATGCTGAAAACAGTAGTGATGGTTGCTCACATCAAGAATGTATTTAATGCCACTGAACCATATTTAAAAATGGGTAAGAACTATCTTGTCTCTTCAGGATAGCCTGCCCTATGCTGTATAGTGTTCTGGGTTTGCTTGGGTTTGTTTTTTTGGGTTTTTTTTTTTTTTTCTATTTTTCTTACCTTTACTTGGCCCAATCTCACTCTGCAGAGCCTTTTTTCTTTCTATCTTTAATAAACAGGAAACTTTGTCACCAAAAAAGGAAAAATAAAAAAGATAATCAGGTGTGAAGTGCACACTTAGCAGGCTCAGGGAGAGAATCACTGCTTTCATGAGTTCAAGACCAAGCTAGGTAACACAGCAAGACTCACATCTCAGAAAAGAAGAAAAAAATCAATTTTATGTTTCTTTGTTTCTTTATTTGTTTGTTTATTACAGGATTAGCAACTCTAATCTGAAAATCAAAATCTGAAACTTTTTAGGTATCAACATGATACCGAAGGAAAATTCTACTCCTGACTTCATGTGTTGGGTCAGAGTCGAAACTCAGGTGCATTAAAAATATTGTATAAAATTACCATCAGGTTAAGTGTGTAAGGTGTTTCTGAAATATAAATAAATTTTATATTTAGACTTGCATCCCATCATCAACACACTCATTATGTATTTGAAAACATTCCAAAATCCAAAATCCAAAACATTTCTAATATCAAGCATTTCAGGATAAAAGATCACCAATCTGTATTTTACCATAATTTTTTAAATTAACACTAAAATAAATTAACATTAAAATAAAAAGGGAGACACATGCTACACCAGTGAACCTTAAAAACATTATGCTATGTTAAATGAAACAATAATCAATAGATTCTGTTGTTTTACATATATGAAGTGTGTATTCAAATTCATAGAGATGACAAGTAGAATGAGGGGAAGGAAAATCAGGAATTTTCAGTGGGTATAGAATTCAATTTTGCAAGATGAAAAGAGTGGCAATGTTTGCAAAAAACAAAAATGTGCATAATGTCATAAAACTACACTTTAAAATCATTAAGTTGGTAAATTCTATGTTACCGTAAGAAAAAAAGGACCCAGAACTAAATGATCTTGGAAATTCTCAGCCTGCTCAAACAGAAAAGATACTAAAATTAAAGAGATTCACTCTCAAGAAAGTATACTCACTCTAAAGAAAAAGTCAAGGATGTGAATATACAACCTTTTTCTAACACTAGTAACATCAGGTTAGTAGAGTACTCAGTCACTTAAAAAGGGCCCCTTTAATCATGCAAGAGTGTGCCTCCCAGATCATCTCATTTGAACGTTTAGAAGGTATAAAGGTATTGTCTCTCAGTCTCCTCACCAGGAGACCAAGGTAGAGGATTTATCTTTAAAAGATCTGTGTAGGTAGCTTTTGTCTAATGGAATGAACCTCACTGAAATCCACAGAAGACCCACAAAATTCTTGAGAAAATTATGTTGACAGAACCTCTGCCTATTTGGGGCTGAAAAGGACAAAGAATATAAAATAAAAAGGGGGCTGTAGATGCTTGGAATTCAACTGGTAGGAAGCAGGCAAGACAAAACTAGAAAGCTGCCAGCACGCGCTGTCTTTCATGAAAAAGGTGGGATGACTTAAGAAGAGCAGAGCCCACCACCTAGGGGGCTGAGACTACTCAGCCTCCTATTCCTGCCCACCTGACAGGGTCTTGCCACTGTCCATTCTGGTTTACAGGCCCTCAGGACTCTTCTCATAGGGGCCCACTTTTTATCTTTATCTAGAATTCCATTTGGTTCCCTCTTCCATGTCCTGTTAATTAAATGCCATCCCTTACCTACCTTAAAAAGTTTCTGCGAGTGCTTGATCATAAAAGCCATCCCATTGTTCAACTTTGTGATATTTTCCTGAAGGTCATTTGCAGTAACCTATTCAGAGGAAAAGAGACCAGAAAAGGGCTCTAAGGCTGAATGCACTTACCACCAAGCTTATTCTTTCAAATGCGTGACTGTCTCTACCCCTAACAAAAGTCCCTCTGGACATTTGATTCCAGAAACCCTGGTCTGGGTTCAATAGGTTTCCACCAGGTATGGCATAAGACTACAACCAGGAAATCCATGAGAACCAACTTCATTTCCTACTCCTGCTTGAAAATTAGACATGTAAGCCAAATTGCTAAACAAAGTCTAGTCTAAGGGATTTAGCTCACTGGCATAGCACCTGCTTGGCAAGCGCAAGGTCCTGAGTTCAATTCCTGGTACCAAAATAGAAAAAGAAAATCTGGTGTAGCATTCATAACTGAAAGGAAGAATGCTGTCTGTACCAACTAGCAAGGACATTGCCTCTTTACAGAAACGAGAGTTTCTCCAGAGACAAAGGAGAACTGCCACAACGGATACCAAAAGTGACATCTGTTTCTTTAAAACACAGTTAAATTGCTATTGATTCTCTTCTCTTGTTCTCCTGTCTTTTTTTTTTTTTCCAAGTACTAAAGCAATTCTACTATGCCTAAACCCTCATCTCTGCATGAATCTTCATTATCTGGTCTGTTGCTTTTCTCAGAACATCTTTAGTATTTTTTTGTAAAAATAGCCATAGTTTACTTCTTTTCCATAGCTTTGGTTAACTGCTTCTATAACCCTTTATGATGAAGCTTAACCTCCTTAGTGTGGACAAGTGTTGGTGTCTCCTCTCCTCCCAATCCACACCACAGGCTCTTCCTGGCCCCAAACTTTCTTTCTTTTATTGTTTAATAGTAAAATGTTCCACAAAACCGTTCTCCTTTACTGTACTATTTTCCTTACTTATCTCAAAAATATTTCTATATGTCACTATAACCTATCTATTTCTATTGTCTTCCCAACAACTTTGTGAAGTAAGTGGTAAAGCTACTAATATACCCAGTTTACAGAGGAGGAACCTAAGGATTAAAAGATACAAAAATGTAGGTAACATAAGTGGTTTGCAGCTTTCAACCCAGATACCTTGCCTCACAATTCCAGCATATGAGATCTATGTTATGATGTGTTGTGTACCTTACCAACTTTTCACAATAAATTTAATCATTATACACTGCAAACATATGCTAATAAAATTTTTAAGTTTTTTCATCTTTATTATGAATAAAATGAGTTTGTGCCTCCAGGTCAAATACGAACTATTTGATTATAAGTAGGTCATGGTGGCAGATTCCTATATCCCAACACTCTGGGAGGCTTAGGCAAGAGGACTGCAAGTTCATGCCCTGCCTGAGCAATTTGGTGACTAAGCAAGCCCCTGTCTCAACAGAAAAAAAGATTGATTTTTTTAAAAACAAAACAAAACAGGACTGAGGATGCAAAGGCCTTGAGTTCAATAACCAGTACCATGAGGAAAAAAAAATGATTAAAAGACTTTAGATAATTTATTTCTTAGGTAAGTGACTGAGGTGGTTATGGTCTCACAAATAAGCACATTCAGCTTTACCAAGGAAACTGTATCTATAGAAAATAGGATAGAATTCCTCCATGTGTCACTTCATATAAAGTTTAATGACATTATCCCCTAAGATCACACTGCTTTATTCTAAATTTATACCATTCAATCTTCAGAAATTAATTTGATTTCCCAAAAAGACTGTCCTGTGAAGGAATTCATATTGACTAGATTAAAAAAAAAATTCTACCTTACCTGGCAGCTATAATATTCCATAGTTTCCACATATAAATTGCTGTACAGGTTTGCCAAAGACTGACTTATAAGTAAGGTTATATGAATTACCCACTCAGGTTAGATAACTCCTGAATGAACTAATAAAGCAAGTTCCTAACCTCATAAAGCTGAAGAATAGATGTTGGACCCATAATAACCCCGTCACAGTATAGGTACAATATGAGGCTGAGCCCAGGAAAACCAAGCAATCTTTTTCTTTTCCTCAACACTCACATTTTTTGGCCACAGGACATGGGGTGCAAACATAAGGGCAAGATTATAGGCAGACATTTTATTCTTGTCTTGTTTCTTTGCTGTCTGGTACAACAGATCAAGTAACAACTTCAGCAAGTTACGATTGGGTGGAGGGAGAATGAGGAAGAGCAACTGAAGAGCCTCAATTTGTCGCTCCTTATCTGGTGTATTGGTCTTGTTTCCTTTATCATCAAACTGCATCAAATCTTGAGAACAAAAGAAATTTTTGAAGAAGAGAAAATATCAGCAAGAAAAAAAATCCATGCTATTACTGTTTTACTATTATCCTCCCCTCAATCCCCAATAAAGGAAAAAAAACAAACATAAAATTCAAATGTTATAGCACCCCAGAATGTTGCAAGGTCTTGGTTTGATTTCCAGCATTGAAAAAGAAAATGGAAAGGACCTGAATAACCATTCCTCCAAATCAATTAGCCAGACACAGTAGCTCATTCCTGTAAAGCCAACTAGAAAAGGTTCATTAGTTCAAGGCTAGCCTGGGCAACTTAGGGCTGGCAATGTAGCTCAGTGGTTGAGTACCTGCCTAGCGTGTATAAGGCACTGCACGTGAGGGAGGAGGGGGAAAAAGAGAGAGAATATAGAAATGAAATGGCCAATAAGCATTTGTATGCTCAGTATCATTAAGTATAAAGAAAACATAAATCAAAACCATACTGAGCGACTACTTTGCACCCATTAACATGACTATAATCAAAAAGACTACAATGCAAACATTGGCAAAGACAAAATTAAGTCTTCTAACATTGCTGGGAATGTAAAATGATATAACTACTTTGGAAAACATTTGGGCATTACCTCAAAAATTGAAGGGTTACCATATTTTCTAGCAATTTAATTCCTGTTATATACCCAAAGGAAATGAAGTGTGTCCATACAGATCTTTGAATAATGCTATACCTTCCACTTTTCCCCCACTTTGTTATTTTGTAACTAAAAGAAAAATCAGCTGGGCATAGTAGCACAACCCTATAATCCCAGTACCTAGAAGGCTAAAGCAGAAGAATAAATCATGAGTTCGAGGCCAGCCTGAGCTTACATACTGTGTTCAAGGCCAGTGTAAAGTATATAGAAAAGAAAGAGAGAGAGAGAGACAGAAAAAAAAAAAAAAAAACAGGGTGAACATGCCTCCATAATAGAATGATTCTAAGCAGCTCCTAGTGGAGTCAGAATCATCATTTCTACCCAAACAGGTTACCTAGGTAATCAATAAAAAAAAGGTTCCCTGTATAATCAGAATCTCAAAGAAAACTAATGACCATTTGTATATACAGTAATTCATGTAGACCTGAAAATGATTACAGTATGCTATTTAAGCTGTTTACCCTCAGTAATAATTTTAGGTTTTGGAAAGGCAGGTAGTATTTCTAGAAAACGTTGGGGCTGGGGATTTAGCTCAGTGGCATAAGCACCTGCCTGACAAGTATGAGATCATGAGTTCGATCCCTGGTACCAAAAAAAAAAAAAAAAAAAAAAAAATTAGAAAGAAAAAAAAAAGAATTGTTCCAGGGCAAAAACTAAGTAAAAACAACAGGGATTCTGATGCTGCATGTATATAGCGCCTCTGGCAGCATAACAGCTGTGCAACTTAGAATGAATTCCCTACCTTGGATGATAAAACTGTGAGGTGAGAATGGGACAGTCTCCAAGAAACATTAAGTGAAAAAAGCAAACCAAAGAACCATGTATCTATCTACCATTACAAAAAAAGAGGGGGAAAGGAGTTTATGTAAGTATTTCTAAAAATACATATTTTAAAAATGTTTCCCAAAGCCTCATGTGGAAGATGATGGGATCAAGGGTGCTTATAGCGCCTTGCTGTTAGGAGGTGGGGTCTGCTCAGAAGAGGTAAGTCATGGGGGAGTATGGCCAAAATTTAGCTTCCTCCTTCCTCCCTTAACGTCTCTCTGCTTCCTGTTGCCAAGCCATGAGCTGTTTCTCCTCAGCCACCTACCTTGAAACTAGCTATAGACTGAATGTCTACCAGTTGTACTGTATGACAAATTTTTCCTCCTTTAAGTTGTAGGTGTCAGGTATTGGGTCTCAGTGATTAGAAAGTAAGACGCTCTGGAAGGCTGCATTACATATCTACAGCACTGGTTATCTCAAGGAAAAACTAGGGACTAGGAATGGAAAACTTTTTCACTGTACAATTTCTGAACCTTTTGAATTCTGAGTCATGTGCATGTAGTGCATATTCAGATAACAAATAATGGGGATGAAGACTAACTGGGAATTAAAGCCAGGGTATTTATACTGAACTACATCACCAGGTCTATTTTTATTTTGAGACAGTCTCACTAAGTCACTAAAGTGCCCATGCAGGGCTAGAACTTTGGATCTTACTGCATCAACTTCTCAAAATACTGGGATTACAGGTAAGTGCCCAGTTTATAAAATTAGTTTTAAAAACCATATTTCCAAGTATAGAGATAATCCCAAAGGAGGCATAGAAATGTTTAGCAAAAGCCCCAAACCAAAGCAAATATACCAAATCTATAACCATCTAAGTTGTATGAATCCAGTGAATCTATTCATTCCAATGAAAAGCAAACATTTATTGAGCACCTAAAATCTTCAAAGGACTATGTTAAGCTCCATCAAGGATACAGAAATAAATAAAACCCAGATCTTATTTTTTCAGCTCCTTGTCTTAATAAAAAGCTTATTTATCAAGAAAAAACATCCAATTAAATCAAACATAACTGGCCAATAATGGTAAGCATACCCAGAAAAACCCAGTAATATTGTGAAATCTTAACCAATACCAAAAACTGCTATGGTTTATGAGGAACAGAAAATCCCAAAAGACTTCATAAATTGAAAGAAATACATTTATACTCCTTCCCACTTCCTATACTCACCAGCAATTTTGAGGTGCACATGGAAATGTTTGTGTGTCAGCAGGGGCTCCGGTAACTCTCCTAGAAACATCTTCAGCAAAGTAGCAACATCATTTGAATGAAACTCCCCTGATTCCAAGTCAATATCAGTTCCATTATTGAGAGCATCCCTTAAAATCTGCTGTCGGACACTATTCCCTGGAACTCTAAACAAACCCTCTACTCGCAAGTCTGTTTAGCATGGAAGAAAACGAGGACAAGCAAACAGGAAGTAAAAAGATTAATACATGGTGCAAACACTACTTTTCATTTAAAACACCCTTTAAAAAGCCTTTAAATGCGACCTCTGCCTTTTCTTCCAGAGAAGTTTGTAACTTACTGGTCCACTGAAGACATCTGGACATCCCTGAGCACCTGGAGTTCACCCAAACTGAAGGATGGACCTCTCACAAATCATTCACCCACCTGAGGTACATCTAGAGACTGAATTTAACCCTAAAACCCCTTCCCTCTATAAACCAGGCTTTGTTTGGAGGGACTGAGTTCATCTGTGAAAGTATGTTATTCCTATAAACTTCTCCCATTGTTTCAGGAGTTAGAACTCTGTCAGATCACCTTTCAATCTAAAAGAGTCTCAGCAGCTTAGTGTCATGCCAACCAAATTATCTGACCCAACCAGAATCTCCTTCATCCAAGGAGATTTTTGTTTAAAGTAGAATAGATTTGATTTGATCATGTTTTCATCTTTGCATAAATCTCTTCTTCAGGGGGCCAAAGTCACATGCCTACAGGGCCAGGCAGGTTAACAGTAAAAGAATGAATAGGAACCATAACAAACTGGAGACTATTTCCTATACACCACCTAATTATGTCCAAGTGGCAACTAAGCCAAAATGCTAGATTTTCCTATCATCCAAAGAAGCTGAAATCTGAGAAATTATTTTGAAGATAACAATATACCATATAACAACCATTGTTAAATTCCTATCATCTTGCTTTGAAATCCTCTATCACTATTGTTTTGTTGTTGTTGGTTGGCTTTTGTTGGGTTTTTTGTTCGTTTGCTTGATTGCTTTTTTTTTATTTTTCTGTGCTTTTTTTTTTTTCCTCTTTAAAATTTAAAAAAAAAAAAAAAAAAAAAGCAAAGACCTGAAATCTGGACCCTTCTCATTTAAAATACTGATAATTTTAGAAAAAATAAAAATAAAACACTGATAACTAATTTTATTTTGTTTTGTTCTTTTTTTCCTTTTTATCAGTACCGGGGATCGAACTCATGACTGCCTGCTTGCAAGGCAGGCGCTTATGCCACTGAGCTAAATCCCCAGCCCCACTAATTTTATTTTTAATGTAATCCTTTGCGAACTAATAAAACATATGGGCAGATGACTCAAACCCCTAGCCTGCCAGTTTGCAATCTCTGCTCTGACTCCTAGCACAATGTTCCACACTGACTAGGGAATAAAACGTTGAGTTGGATTTATTAAGGCATTATATAAGGCCTTATATATCAAGGCCATCATATTTTCATATATATTCAGCTGTAACAAGTACCTAGCACAACATGACCAGCAAGACTACTAAAAAATGCAACAATAATTAAGTGAAAAGTATATGTGAATCATAGAATTCTAGAGATTAAAAACAGCATGCTCCCTTGTTTAAATGTCATAGTTCTTTAATAACAACAAATTTTTCCCAAAGAAATATTTCTCTGAGTTAAGAAATAAATGTAGTTTTATAGACCCTGTCTAATTTATACACATCTTTGAGAGTATGGGGTATATCAATATATAAGATGAAGATTAAAAGGACGTATATTTTAAAATCTACCCCAGAAATCAGCACTCGTTAGTTCTTTGCTGATGTTAACTGGCACCTACTAATCCAAGGCAGTCAGCTCTCATTAAACAAAGAACAATAAAACTTTCAGTAGTCTTACTTTTGTGCAGATATTCAATCAGTTGGTATATCTGGGCTATGCCTTCCTCTGTCAATGGGGATCCAAATACCACTCCCTTTTCTGAAAAACCACATAACAGGACAGAAATGTATTTACACAAATAGTACAAAATTCATCATATTTAAAACAACCCCAGCACATGCCTGTAATCCCAGCACTCAGGAGGCTGAGGCAGGTGGACCACTTGCAGTTTGAGGCTACAAAGTTAAGTTCAAAGTCAATCTGAACTGCATAGCAAAACTGTCTCAAAAAAAAAAAAAAAAAAAAAAGACTTCTACCAAAAACCACCACCACTGCAACATTACAGTTCAGCAAATGGTTTTCACAGGATGAGTAAACAAAAACCTTGGCATTGGAAGTACACCAAAAAATACAATCAGAACAACTCTCAAATCGGCTCCAAATTCAATATTAAATTGTAGGTTCCTTAAACACCAAGACTGTTTTCCATTTTTTTTTTTGCCCTTTTTTTGAGACGGGGTCTCACTATGCAGTTCAGGCTGGCCTTGAGCTGACTTTGTAGCCCAGGCTGGTCTCGAACTCGAAAAAATCCTCCGACCTCAGCCTCCCAAGTGCTGGGATTACAGGCGTGAGCCACCATGCCTGGCCTGTTTTCTTTTTTAAGTACTAATATTTATCATCACATTAATATTTAAATTAATTATAAAAAAGAATTAATTATAAAAAAGAATTCATGATTGTCAAAGCATGACAGATCATTCACAAGAGCTGGCACAGGATGTCATTTGTTAATGCATAAACATTTTTTCTAGCTGAATGAGTTTCCTATACTTGATAAAACAAGATCTCCTCCATATGTTATCAAAAGTAGTGCTACAATTTCTTTACTTCCTGAGAAGACTTTTTTTGGGGTGAGCTGTAAAGTACCAGCCTTATGAAAGCATTCCAGGGAATGAAAACATTTGAGAACTGCAATAAAAAGTTCAGGTTTTCTTTGTGTGCTTTCCAGCTATGTAACTTTGGATATAAAAAAAAAAAAATTTAAAATAAAACTAGTTTAATTAGTTTAACACAGTGACATTCACCTCTAGTCCCAACTACTCATGAACCCAGAAATTCAAGGGTAACCTGGGCAATATAGCAAGATACCATTTAAAAAAATAATAAACTGAAAATTAAATATTTTTTTAGTAGTAGGGCATGAAAATTAAGATGCCCCTGATACCCACCTAAACACATATGTCACCTTTTAGGGACTGAATTCACTTCTTATTTTAATAGTTTACAAAAAGAGAAAAATAGCTGAGAATGGTAGCACATGTCTGTAATATTAGCATTCTGGAGTCTGAGGCAGGAGGATTGCTATGAGTTTGAGGCCAGTCTGGGCTACAAAGTGAGTTAAAGGCCTGGCTGAACTACATAACAAGATCCTGCCTCAAAAAATGGAAAATGAGAGAGGATAATCACAGCTCCTCAATGATTCTGCAGGTATTAAGAACAAAATCCAATATAGGTCTGGTGGCACAAAAACACCTATAATCCCAACACTCAGGAGACTGAGGCAGAAGGATTAATCGCTGCCAGTTCAAAAACAGCCTGGACTACACAGGAAGTTCAAGGTTAGTCTGAACCACATAGTGAGACCTCGCCTTGAGAAAAAATAATAAAGTTCAGGTGTTGCAGAGAGAAGCTAAGACTTGCCCACCCTTCACAGACAGGTCTCCTACCCTTCCGCTTGAGAGACATTAGAGACCGGAAGAATCCTGATGCTGGGCCAGCCCCACCGGGCAATTTAAGGTCCACTTCTCCCATCAGCTGAGCCAGCTCAGTTCCTGGTAAATCGATAAGCCTTGTGATATTGCTGACCACCAACTCAGTGAACACCTCAGGTTTCTCATGTCGGAGTTTTTCCACAAAAAAATCAGGATTGAAGATAACAGGTTGACCTCGAAGGGAAGAATCATTGCAGATGACAAAACTGCAAATGGCATCACTGAAAAAAATGAACCAGAAGATTTCTGGGGGTATCATTTTGATACATGTTTCTCTGCTCTATATATAGATGCTTTGTTTCTGAGCCCATACTATAATCAGCTCCCTGTAGTTGACCCAGCAGCCTCTGAATCTGTTCCTCATAACCAAAAAGCTTTCCCAGAGTAGAGGAAATATACAGGTACATAAAATTGATTTTTGTTCAGGTCTATAAATAGGTTTTATCTATTTATTTATGTACTGGAATCAAACTCACGACCTCATGCTTGCCCAGGCAGACACTGTGCCACTGAGCTATCCCCAGCCCAGGTTTTATTTATTTTACAGTGCTAGGAATCAAACCCAGGGCCTAGCACATGCTAGGCCTTGAGCTAAATGTACCTCCAGCGTGTTTTTATTTTTAAGTCTTTCAATTGTGGATGCCTCTGACCCATCTCTCACTGAAGACCAACCTCTGCCCAGTGACATCTCTCTCTGCCCTCTAGTCTTAGCCAGTTTCCTGCTCCTATATTCCATTTGACCATACTCTTTGAAAAATTCCTTTGACTCTCAAGAAATGTCTTCTTCCTTTGTTTTTTTGTTTCCCAACAACTACTACTACTTATACTCCTTTTTACTTAGAAGTAAAACATATATATGTTTAAGATATAACATAACATAAGATAAGATAACATATATATGTTTAAGAACTGTTGCTCCATCTCTTATAACAGACACATCATTGTACTCACTGTCAATTAACTCTAATGGTGGTCATTATAATCCTTATAGTGTAAATAATAATGATTCTTATTATACTATTATACAAACAGTCATCTGTTATATGACTGAGAATTGACGTAACAGAAGCCAAGAAGGATAGATTATTGTATCTTAGGCAAAGTTAAATTCACCTAACTCATACATGTTTCCCCAGTGAAAACAATCACAACCATCACAAAAGTTGTCCATGACAGCCAGGCAAACAAAGCACTATTACAGGAAAAATGACACATCTTAGATAATAAATATAACAGGCTAATAAAACACTCTACCAATACTCTGTGGATAATTTTTAATAAGAGTATAGTGAAAATAAGGCATGGGTAAACTTCAAAGTTTATCTCTACTCCTTTAAAAAATTATTAATTTTAAATCATATCCTAAATTTTCAGTTGATGATGATTCCTCTTTCTCTAAAATGATAATTTACTATAAGAAATCACATACAAATATCAAATTATGAATATATGATCAAAAAGTCACTAGAGATGACTTAGAATGCACAAGGATAGGTTATTTTCCTTCATAGCCTTAAAGATGCCAATGATTATAACATAAGCCAGTGAGATCAGAAGGCATTTTAACTTTGACAAGATTCCCCTCCCAATGCTGATGAGATTGAGCCCAGGATCTCCTGCATTCTGGACAAGTACTTTTATCTCTGAACTACATCCCCAGGACTTTTTACACTTTTTACTTTCAGGTAATGTCTCACTACATGGCCAAGCTGTCCCCCAATTTACACTGCTCCATGCCGCCATCTCCTGAGTAGCTGGGACCACATGAATGTGCCACCATCAAGGCTAAGGAGCCTCTTTTTAAATGTCTATTTCAGGCAAGAAACAAGAGTCCATACAAAATTACTATTTATAATCAAAAAAGTCTAGAAAACTATGAAATGTGTTAGCACCAAAAAGAATCATAATTTATCAAGTCTAAACTACTCATCTTATGGAATTCACATCCCATTTGTTTGTTTGTTTGTTTGTTTGTAAGCAAGGTCTTACTATATAGTCTAGGCTTGCCTTAGACTCACTGTGGAGCCCAGGCTGGCCTCAGACTCATGGCAATCCTCCTGCATCATCCTCTTAAGTACTAGGATACAGGCATGCACCACCATGCCCAGCTGTATGTTACTTCATGGCCCTTGGCTAAGATCAGTTTAATATCTGATATGTCCTCTATCGCATTTAATTACAGATAACTAACTTCAGATCAAATTAATTTTAACATACAAATGCATATTGCCAGGGATTTAGCTCAGCAGCATAAGTGCCTGCCCAGCAAGTGCAAGGTTGTGAGTTCAAGCCCTGGTACCAAAAAAAGAACCCCAAAAAACAAATATAAATGCATCTGAACAGCATCCATTACATTCCTGAAGTAGAAGCATGTATACATAAAAAAAGAAGCATGTTTACATATAAAATCTACAGTCATATTTTGTTAAAGTCCAGAACATGACTCAGTTAAGATTCTAAACTTATATCACAGCTAACCCTGGTAACACTAAACTGGATCAAACCAATGAGAAAGGAGCTAAAAGCACAATGCCACCAGCTATGTTGTTTCTCAACAGAGTTCTTAGCAGGCTATCAGCTCCAAAACTGGCTTTCCTACCAGCCTAAGCAAGTAGAAAGAAACAGATTTGAAGTTGCCACTACCTATTTATAAGGAACTCAAAAAGATAATCTTGGAAGTCCTAACACATAAGAACCACAACCTCTTTTCTTTCCCTTTTGCTTCCCCTTTCCCTCCTATGTTAATTCATTCTTCTACTCTAAACTTTAAATTTTGTTAAACTAGCTCTTTTGTCAGGAATTTTAGCTCACTGGTGTAAATGCCTGCCTGGCAAGTGCAAGGTCATGAGTTCAATCCCCGTACCAAAAAGATTAAAAATAAAAATAAAAAATGAACTATCTCTTTTTTTTAACCTCTTCCTCCTTTTTTTCTAAGTGGAGCATCTGGTAAGACAGCATCTATTTTAGTTACTTTTTTCATTGCTGAGACACAATACCCAACACCCAAGTTTGCAAAGGTTTCAGTTCATAATCAGCTGGCTCCAGGGCAAGTGGTACAGTGACACACAAGCACACAAGCTTTGCAGAGGAAGAACAATTTGTGGAAGGCAGAAAGTAGAAAAAGCATTCAAGGAATAAGCAACAAGCAACACACAACGACCCCCTCTTTGTCCCTTGTATCTTATCCACACAGAACTGTGCCAAACCATTCAGTGGACTAATTTAGTAATCTACACCCTAGATCCAGCACCTCCAAAAAGCCCCACCTATAACTGCATTAGGTTTTGGGAACATTTAGATACAAACCATAACAATATCAAAAAGATAGAAAGGTTACACAATACCACAATACAAAGCTAAAACATAAAGGAACACATTTAATAACTTAAAAAGCCCTAGAACTAAAAAAAAAAAAAAATACATTTAAGCAAAAGCAACTTCCTATTCTACAATATTTGCTCAAATTCTAGGAAAATAAATAAATTTCTTACATAAATGCTGAAAGCTTCTGATGAGGCATTGGCAATTGAAGAGAAAGGAAAAAACTTTGTCCTTGCTTATGCAATAAAGAAACTCTCTTCCTCTACCCCAGCACAGCCTACACAAATTCCAGACATATTAGAGGACACAAGGACACATTATGGAGCCTGAAAGGCAGCATTTATTAGAACTGTGAGCACTTTTCTGCAAGTAGGAACAAAATAGCATTTAAAAATTAGACCAGCTAACTGTATTTGTCCATACATAGATGAAGCTGAACAACAGATTTCCCGTCAGCACTGCAAGTTGTATTAGACAAATACATCTTAGTTATTTAATGTATGAGCATAAGGATGAGCAGTTTTACAATACGGGAAGGGTCATCCGCACCTTTCATCATACACAAAAAAATGAATTCTTGCCAGGCACAGTGGCACACAGCTGTAGTCTCACCACTCAGGAGGCTGAGGCAGAAGGAATACTGTGAGTTCAAGGCCAGCCTGAACTGCATAGCAAGACCTTGTCTCAAAAAAAAAAAGAGAGAGAGAGACACATAGTAAGAAGACAAACCACACCTTCCCGTGAGCCAGGGTCTGTCCTGGAGATGGAGAAGACACTCAGCAAGAAGACAAACCATGCCTTGGGGGCTGGGAAACCATAAGAGAATCCTTCCCACTGCCCCCAGCAACTGGGTGATACAGAGGACTCAGGGTAAGATGACAGCAACTGAGGTAAAAGGAATAGTTAGATACTTGTATTGTTTGATTGACTATGCAGGCCTGGGGCTGGTGGTCAGGGCATCTGTTTGGAGGATGACCTTGTGCACCATGGCAACTGTGGCGGATTTCCCTTCCTTTTCTTTTCTTTTTTTTTTTTAAGCAGAATATATTTATTTAGAGAAAGAAAGCTTCTGTCTGAGAGACAGACAACAGGAATCGCAAATGGGTTGCCCAAGATTTCCTTCTGTCTTGTTTTTGAAATCCAATGTTTTGCTCCGTTTTACTGTTTTGCTTTATTCCTGTTTCTGGTAACCTGAGTTAACTATTTTGAATATAACAATATGCAGTTATAACAGCCACTGTTAAATTATTATCATCTTGTTTTGAAAATCTATATAGCTATTGTTGGGTTTTTTTGTTATTGTTGTTTTGCTTTTGTTGCTGCTGTCCTTTAGGTTTGCGTCTTGATTTTTCTGTTTTTTTTTTTTTTTACTCTTTAAAATGCAATTAAAAAAAAGAATAAAGCAGAGGAAATGTTTTTTAAGATATAAAAATCACAATCTAAAAAAAAAAATCACAATCTAAAAAGAAAATTTAAAATTTTTCTATAACAAGTACCAGAATAAACAAAAAAAAAAAAAATTTTTTTTTTTTGGTCTTTTTCCTTTTTATCGGTACCAGGGATCGAACTCACAACTGCCTGCTTGCAATCAGGCGCTTATGCCGCCTAGCTAAATCCCCAGCCCCAACAAAAATAATTTTTAAATGAAGTCATAATGCCTCTTCAGAAGGAAAATGGATAAATGAAAGAGGAGAAGGAGAAAAACTTTGCACTATATGTTTTTGAGTTTTTGTAGTGCTGAGGATCAAACCTAGGGCTCCATGCAAGCTAGACAAGCACTCTACCACTGAGCTCAACAACTAGCCCTCCTTTGGTATTTTTCATTCATGGGAACATAAAACTCATATGTTGAAGTATCTTTTAAAAAGCTATAGACTACAAAAAGACATTTGCTCTGCATATAAGTAACAAATGATTAGCATTCAGATTTAGCAGTAAGCAAAAATTAATAATGATATTCAAAAAAATAATAATGATATTCAAATCAGAGAAAATAAATCGAAGGATAAAATCAGCAATTCATAGAAGACACAGCAATACACAAAAATTATAATCTATCTGAAATTTGTTATGTCCACGTACCTATTTCCTATAGTGAATATAATCATGTACTAACAAGAGTTAAAAAATAATATAACAGAATTGGGTTTGTTTCGAAATGTAAAGTTGGTGTAACAGAAAAACTAATTAGCAAAAACCATACTAATGGTATGAAGAACAAAAATATATAATCATCCAATAAATAAATACATAAACATGTTGGGTATGGTGGCTCACACCTGTAATCCCAGCACTTGGGAGGCTGAGGCAGGAGGATAGCTAGGAGTTTGAGACCAGCCTGGGCTACAAAGTGAGCTCAAGACCAGCCTTAACTACATAGTGGACCGTCTCAAAAAGACAAAAAAAAAAAAAAAAAAAAACCATAGAAGTTACTTGATAAACATTAAATATAATTTTAAATAAATAACAGCAATTTAGGAATAAGAAGGGGCTAAGGATATAGCTCAGTAGTGCGGCACCTGCCTGGCAATCCCAAGGTCCTGAGTTCAATTTCCAATATCATCAAAACAAAAAAAAGATAGTTCTGTCAAAATAATAAGCAGGGAAAGATAGCATTTTAAAATTTGCTTTATTTCAATAGCTTGAGATTATGTTCATGTTCATTAGCCATTGAGGTCCTGTTTTGTGGGTTTTTTTGGGTTATCTGAGACAGGATCTCACTATGTACTTCAGGCTGGGCTTCAATTCACAGCAATCCTCCCGCCTCAGCCTCCCAAGTGCTGGGATTACGGGCTTGTACCACCATGCCCAGTTCTGTTTTGGCTTTTGCACTAAAATACATTCCCAGTCCTTTTTATTTTTTATTTTGAGGTAGGGTCTTGCTAGGTTGCCCAAGCTACACTCCAATTTTTGTTCCTCCTGCCTCAACCTCCCCAGGTACTGGGATTACAGCATGTGCCAACTTGTGTGGCTTCCTCTTATCTATTTGAAGATTCAGGTTCCACGATAATAGTCTCCAAATATTTGTCCACGATACTGATAATCTGTATTTTTCTCTCTCTTTTCTAAAACTTATATTATTGTGGGTATCAATTTTATTAGTTTAGTCAAGATTCCAACTCTTGGCTTTGTTGAACTTCTCTATATATATTGTATGCTTATTTTATTAATGTCTGCTCTTTTTATCACTTTCTTTTTTCTACTTTCTTTATTAAATTCATGACAAAGTACCACTGCAAATCAGTGGGAATATATGACTTTTTCATTGATATATTTGAATATCTAGAGAAGGAAAAAAATGAAAACTCATACCTATCTCACTATACACAAAAATTAATTCCATGTGAACTGTAGATCTAATGGTGAACAGAAAAATGATAAATCTAAAAAGATAACACTGAACTCAGGATAGGAAAATAATTTTTAAATAAGACTTAAAAAATATTAACCATAAGGTCGGGGATATAGCTCAATGGCATAGTGCCTGCCTTGCAAGCACAAGGTCATGAGTTTGACCTTGTACAAAAAAAAGTTGACCAGTACAAAAAAAATTAACTATAAAGAAAAAATATTAATATATCTGACTTTAATAAAATAATTTGTATTAAATAATAGTAATAAGTAAATAAATAAAAATTTTAAAAAATAAACTAATTTGTATTCACCGTACATATCACTATGGCTGAGGATATAGTTCAGTGGTAAGGTGCTTGCCTAGCATGCACAAGATCCTGGGTTCAATCCCAATACAGAAAGGAGGAGGAGGAGGAAGAGAAAGAGAAAGAGAAAGAGAAAGGAAAAGAAGGAATTATTAATCAATGGATCTGCGATATGTAAATAACCTAGGGCAGGCATGGTGGCACACATCTATAATCCTAGCACTCAGGGGACTTCGGCAGGAAGATCACAGCGCGTTCAAGGCCAGCCTGAACTATATAGTAAGCCTTGTCTCAAGAGGAAAAATACATATAATACATATAATATATAAATATAAAATATATAATATATGTATATATATATATATAACCTCAAAAGGGATATTTTGAATACTTACATGTTAAGAAATCCCACAAATCTACAAGAATTTTTACAAACAACACAGTAGAAAAATGGGGATGTAATTTCAACAAAATTTCATTTTAAAAGATAGCCAAGCCAAGTCAAGCCGGGCATGATGGCTCACGCCTGTAATCCCAGCACTCAGGAGGCTGAGGTGGGAGGATTGTTACGAGTTCAAGACAAGCCTGGGCTCCAAAGTGAGCTCAAGGCCAGCCTGAACTGCAAAGAGAGACCCCGTCTCAAAAAAGACACACAAAAAAAAAAAAAAAAAAAAAAAGATAGCCAAGCCAGCCTATCTGTAATTCCAACACTTGGGAGGCTAAGGTAAGAGAATCACCATAAATTCAAGGTCAGCCTGTCTGGGCTATATAGTGAGTTCAAGGCCAGGCTGAACTACATACATGGTGGACCCTGTCTCAAAAAACAAACAAACAAAAAAAGTCAAATATCAAATATATTTATGGGAAAAATGTGTGATATTATTGGACATCAGAGAAATGCAAATTAAAACAGCAATAAAATACTATAACCCACCAGCATGACAAATTTAAAAAGAATGCCAATACCAAGTTTTGAAGAAAGCAACTATAACTCTCTCATACTGATAATGGGGCTATATTACCAGTACAATCATTTTAGAAAACTGGTCTTATCAATTCAAGTAGAACAAACTATATGCCCATGACCTAGCAATTCTATTCCATATGTAATATGTGTACCAAATATTACAAACAAGAATGTTCATCACATTATTTTCTAAATAACCAAAACTGAAAGCTGAATGGTTTTTAAAATTGTAGTATCTGCAATGGAGTATTGTACAGTACAAAAAAATAGACAAATTCTAGCTATACATACCATTAAGGATGAAGTTCACAAATAACAATCAACAAAAGTGACATACAAGTGGAAAGACAATTGTATACTCTGTGATCACATATCAAATTTTAAAAACAAGTGCCTGCCTTGCAAACAGGCAGTCGAGAGTTTGATCCCTGGTACTGATAAAAATGAAAGACAAAAAAAAAACAGGACCCAGCGTGGTGTCACAACCTAGAAGCCCAGGGGAAGCTGAGGCTAGCCTGGGCTACATAGTAAGTTCAAAGCCCTGATCTACATATCGAGACTGTCTCAAAAAAAAAAAAACAATAACAACAAAAAAAGCAGAAAAAACTAGTATTTCAAGATACTTGTGTATATAGC